TGTCATGTCCACTCTTATTTCACTATAAAACCATCGTGAATTGTTTCTTCCATTATATTTACTCGAGCTATAATGTTGCAGATTTAAACTTGCAAAAAGAAAGAAATCAGCACGAGATCAAATTCTTGTGGTGAATACGCATTTTTTTGTACCGAAAAACACTCGTTACAGTTTAGCGTACTTTGACTCCCAGAGCAGCAATTCAGCGCCAAAAGTTCTAGCGATCGATGCTGCTAATGAATAGAAATGTGATGAAGTCAGCCCTTTGACCCCAAAGAGTAATTAGCATCTAATTTCTCCTCACAATATCCCCCCTGAATCAACATTAAGGTCGTGAGAATACAGTAAATGATCGCCTACTGAAGAGGTTCTTGATTGATCAACAAATTCTCCTTGTCGACACCTAACTGAAATTTATAGAGAACAGTATGGGGAATATGCATACTGATGTTAGGGGGTAAAGTGTTAACAGATAGCATTTTGATTGAGTGTCGTGGAGTCAGAACTTTAACTTTCGCAGCACCGAGCCAATTAGAACATAGAGAATTTACATAAATAGCCAATAACATCTCAAATCATCACCATTACAATTTCCTTAAATGTGATTGGTGCGCTAGCTGATTTATTTTTCACTAATTATTCTGTACAGTTGTAATCGGACAATGTAATCGGACAGTTGGCTGTAATCGGACACCTTTAATCGGACAGTTGAAGCAGCTAATCATTTAAGTCCACTCAGCTAAATCCACCAATCACAGAATTGATCTCAATAACCATAGCAACGATCACTCATTCTGAAAAAAAAAAAATTTAAAATGGAGGCATTTTTACTTAAGACTTTGTCTCTATCGGAGATGTTTGTCTTAAATGTATTTTTTCCCCGGAAATTGTAACTGTTATGATTAATTGGTATCAGGACTTCGTGTCGTCCAACTCTGTCAGTAATCATACTTGTGATTGACTAGTCGGACTTCCGCTGTGCGGTCGTCCGATTTTGTTTATCACACATATGATTACAGAACGAATCGGACGAAACGAAGTCCTGTTACGGCATTATAGAGGGGAAACAAGCACAATAGTTAAAGCGCGGGAAAAATGCCAAATAATTCTCCTTGACTAAACACCAAAGTTAACTTCTTAAACTTACATTTTATAAAAAAACTACGTTGAAACCTTAAAACACGGGCGAGTTATAGCAAAAAATGTTTCTCCACTGATTCCGTCATATTGAAAAATCTTGGTGCTTGGTATTTGCTGCACAACACACTCATTAATTTTCAAATCGCGTGAAAACCCCTCGTAAAAAAAAAAAGTCGATCTTGATGTGATGGCGGATGCAGCCGATTTGCGACCAGTATTTAAATATCGCTATCACTGGACTTTACAAAACGTACTACTTTTTCTTCCGTGTTTAATAGTAGAGATGAAAAGATGAAACTTTTGAGCTGGCTTTCTTACGAAGGCTTTGTTTTTCTTCAAAGGAAATATCGGAGGACAAATATCGAAGCAGGTGGGAGTTATTAAAAAAAAAAAATGAAACAAAAAACTCTTCATCGATTTCTCATCGTTGTCTATGTACAAGGACATCTCTCTGAAGACTTCCCGCTTTACATCTGTGATTTTCGTCAATGGAAATTAGGTTCTTTGAAAATTAATAATAAATATATTGCTAGCTTTCGAGTCCTTCAACCTCATATTGGAAAGTAAACCGAACCATTACGATTGACTAATGTTTGTTGACATGAATGCGAGTATCTCTCTCTCACTAGATTATCAAGTTAGTATTCGGTGCATTTATAGAATTCTACTTTATTGCATTACATCATGCGCGAGTAACTTGGAAAAGATTTCTGTCAAATTGTGAAACCAAACGCTTCTTCCAGTTAGTATCTCGCGAACTAAGAGGATTCTCTTGTAGTCGATTGATACGTTAATTAATTTCTCGTTTACTTTTAGGATATTTTCTTTTTTTTTCACTTGATTTTAAAATATTAATGAGAATCAATGATTTTTAAGTCTGCCGGTCACATTTACCACTGGAAAACGTTCAGGTGAAACCCTTGATAAGCTGACGTAACGCCAAAGTTCAAGTCACGCAGCTGGTCATATATGGCGTGACGTTGAGATGGCTTACTGGCGCGCGAGCCTAGGCCGAGCAACATAATATCGGAAGGCGCCATCTTGGATTGTACGTTCCGTCCAAACTATTGAATAGCAATCCGTCTCCATCGGGATAGCAAAGGTGAGTTTCACCAAGTTTTCGAGATGCTAACATAGAATGACAATATTACGAGACGTTCGCTTTGTATTTTTGCCGTTTGGTCGTTTTTCTCCGCGAACTGATGGAGATGTTTATAGTCATTTTGTACTCTTGGATCGTTACTAACATTAAAAAGATAGGTCCAGCTATACAGTGCGTCTTGACGTTTAACCATTTTTGAATATGTTATTTATTGTCTGAAACGTAAGTTTTGGAAATTATGGAGATTTATCCAACTGCTAGCGCTGAATATTGAATCCAGTGGCACTAATGATAAAGCATATAGAGTCAAATAGAACAATCATCCTCGCAGGAATTGTGACCAGTGGGTGGGACTGATTCGAAGCTGAACATTTTCCAGTTTCTTTTCTTCAGTTTCTCACCTTGTGGCTCACTTGGGAGGATCATTGCTCTACTTGATATTCATCACCAGGATTTTGAATTGATTTTTTCTCATCAACAGCTGTGAAAGTTGATAGACCAAACAATTGTAATAGTTTATAGACTTACGAAGTCACCGCCCCCTCCAATTACATGATATTTGTGACCCTCCATGGGAAAATGGACACTAATGCTTTTCCGTTAAACGGTCTCGAAAAACGGTTGTAAACGGATAGTAAACAGCTAACTCGAGTGTTTAAACGGATGCCATAACCACTTAAATGGATGGCAAAAAATTTAAACGGTTGACCAAAGTCCAAAAACGGATAGCTTAGGCCTTTAAACGGTTGACCAAAAATAAAAACAGATAGCACGAAACGTTAAACGGTTGACCAAAGTTAAAAAACGGATAGCTCACACTGTTAAACGGTTGACCAAAAATAAAAACGGTCAGCCCGAAACGTTAAACAGTTGACCAAAGTCCAAAAACGGATAGCTTAAATCGAGAAATGGTTGACCAAAATCGACAAACGATGAGCTAAAAATTAATGTTTAACGGATGTGATTGAGCCGGCGAGATCTTCTGCAGAAAAACTTTCAGAGTGACAATGGATAATTATCCTTTAAAGTGAAAACATTGAGCATGATAATTTGAAAAACAATAACTAGCATAATTATACTTGTGCATTTTATTTCTGGGTAAATTACTGCTGCTTTCGTGTGACATTCATGAAATAAGCGCAATTTACTGAGAATAGTTTCGCTGCCGAATATCCTGAACGGCTACCGCGAGAAACTCATAATCTTCTCCAACAAATTTGCATATGCAATGCCACCACCTTGTTTGAAGCCGAAACGTTTCAAGGTCAAATAACGCAATGAACTTCCATTGCAAATAAAAGGTCGAATCGGTGTCACACACCAAGCGGGGCCGTTAAAATGATTGTCAATAAAACCAAGAAAGATGAATCAAGATGACATAAACAGAAAGAGAGTAGCCGATTTAGCAGTCCATCAATGAGGAACAATTTAAAACTATGAGACGGGAACCAAGAGAGGGTTATCTCGGTTTCACTAAATCTGTAATCAAGATCAGGCGCACTGTTCTGATGGAACAAAGTCAATGGCAGGGTCACGGTCAAATGAATGGCTTCATTGCAATTGGCTCCAGGGCGTGAAATTGCACCTAATACAGGCGCCAATGTGACTAAATTTTTCACTTTGGCGACCAAATCCTGAAAGTTAGTCGCCAAATTGGCGACTACAACATTTCATCATAACCTTACCAAGAGATATAGTGAATTAAATAAATTTGCAAAGATAAATCCGCGGCAAACTTCCTCGTTAAGTTTGTTTCCAAAACGTAGCAGATACATCTTGATCAATAACTAGACGCCATCTTGGATTTAGATGGGCCTGAACGTTGTATATCATACATCCTAGTGTCCACTTTGTAGCACGTTAAAGATCTTTTCCCTAACTTAACTTTGGATGGTCTATCTAGAACGCTGACAGCGTAAAGAAGATTTTGTTTGTCTTTGAAAATGGCGACCAACTTTTTTTGAATTGGCTACCACTTTGAAGAATGTAGGAGCCAAGTGGCTATCAGAAAAAAAAGTTAATTTCACGCCCTGGGCTCTCAATGCTCTTGGTTTTTGCAAACGGATATTTCAACTTAACTTGTTTGTCAAAGGATGCGACGGAAACTCGCTTACTATGATCACGCAAAAGATAAAACCAAAATAAGATATGGTCTTTCTGTATTTCAAGAACCGGCGAGTATCAAGCGAACGTAAGATTGATACTTCGAACTGCCCGTATCAGAATGAGAGGCAAACAGTCCAAAGCTTTCCGTGGAACTTTAAGCAGATCGCTTTATTTTTTTAAACGGATAAGCAAACCGTTTAAATGTTTTTGCTAGAGCGTTGAACGGATGCAAATTTTTTTAAATGGATGCAAATTTTTTTGAACGGATGAGCAAACCGCTTAAAAGTTTTGGCAAAAGCGTTAAACGGATGCAAATTTTTTTAAACGGATAAGCAAACCGCTTGAACGTTTTAGCTAAAGCGTTAAATGGATGCAAATTTTTTTAAATGGATAAGCAAACCGTTTAAACGCTTTCATGAACCGTTTAAACGGATATAAACAGATAGTAAACGGTTTTGCAGTTTAAACGGAAAAGCGTTAGTGTCCATTTTCCCATGGAGGGTCACATTTTACGTGAGGAGGACATTTAGAGATGGAAGTCTGAAATGGCCGTCAATTTTCAGGGAACCAAATACAATACATTTAGTTAACTTTCTCTGTTAGCTGTAAATATAAACTCCAACTGATCTTAAACTTCTCTTTACAGGCAATCATGACTGACTCCAAATACTTTACAACAACCAAGAAAGGTTAGTGGATTTCTACTACAGCTGATACAAATTTTCCCAGTGGAGAGCTCATTTTCTTTGCATTTCATGAAATTTCCAAGGGAAATCTCAAGTAGATTTGCAGATGGATGGTTTTTTTTTTATTCAGCAAGCTTGAAGTGATGGTATGCTATACCTGATAAGAATTATGACATGTCATCTTGGTGGAAAATTTTCCCTAGTTTTCAAACCTTAGAGCTGGAATTGTTTTCTTTCATACTTTTTGATGCCAGAGTATGGTGTATTTTTTCAGGGGAGATCTTTGAGCTCAAGGCAGAGCTGAACAGTGATAAGAAAGATCGCAAGAAAGAAGCAGTAAAAAAAGTTATTGCTAGCATGACTGTTGGGAAGGATGTCAGGTAAGAGAGGCCTGATGAAAAACATGGATGGGATGCTTTCTTTTCTTTGCAGTGTCTATATTGTTATAATTGTTACTACATGTACTGAGTTGTATTCTTTGGCAAATTTAATGAATGTACATGTTAGTATTCATGTTAAGTTGTTGAAACAAGGGGACTTTTTCTCCTGGCACCTGCAACTTTGTCTGGCAGACCTTCTAATCTCTTATAACACTGAAGGGGTTCAGATTTATTTTGGGCCACCTCTGAAACAGACCATGTCAGTTGTGGACATCTTGAAATTGAATTTGAGGCCTAAATAATATAATTATGTAGATTAAATGACAAAGATTAGCCTATATCAACAAATCATACAGCTTAACCACAACTTATAGTTCCACTGAAAAGTAAGTTAACAGTCCCTCGATACTCAATATTCAATACTCAATACTCAATTCGCAATCATCAATTTTTAGAACTTTGAAGATCGGGGCTCAAGTCAAGTTTTGAGATGTTCTTGTTGAGTTGTAAGACCCTCAAAGCAACAAAACAAAAGAATTTCGCACAACTAATTATTCTCACAACTTGAAGCTTTTTAAACCTTGTCTTATTCACAAGAGAAAAATCCTTACAACATTAAATCATTGGAGAGTTCTCTGAAGGTCTCAATTCTTAAAACTTGAGCCTCCTTTCTTATTTCTTGACTTGAAAGTTTTGATGACTAATGAGTGAGTTTCAAGTCAAGACTGTCTAGTCAAGACTTACTTTTGAGCAGTACTTAGTATGGTTTGTACCACAAAATAGAGGTTTTGATTTGCGATGTTATGTTTCAGCTCCTTGTTCCCAGATGTGGTGAACTGTATGCAAACTGACAACTTGGAGTTAAAAAAGCTGGTGTACCTTTACCTTATGAACTATGCTAAGTCTCAGCCCGATATGGCAATCATGGCGGTCAATACTTTTGTGAAGGTTAGAGTTACTGCAAGTCCACTTCCTGTGGGATCCACTGAGTGACAAAAGAGGAATACATCCTCCATCAGCCAAAAATGAATTATAAGGATGTTGTATTCATTTGTCAATGCAAAAACAAAAGTGCATGCAGATTTTTTTTATAACTGAATTGTGGAAGAGGCTGGTACATGCATAAGCTATAATCAAATTGTCAGAGATAACACAAGTATGTAGTTGTGAGTGATATAATTCCACTTGCCATCAAGATTAATGATGAATATTCATAGTAGGACCAAGCTATTACTAATAAAATCTAGCGAAGGTGCTCCAAGGTAGCATATCTTGTGTAAACATGTTTAGGAAAGCATTGTGTTTTTTCTTTTCCCACCTAGGACTGTGAAGACCCAAACCCACTTATTCGGGCTTTAGCTGTTCGCACTATGGGCTGTATCCGCGTTGACAAGATCACAGAATACTTGTGTGAACCCCTGCGCAAGTGCTTGAAGGATGAAGATCCCTATGTTCGCAAGACTGCTGCAGTTTGTGTAGCCAAGCTTCATGACATCAACTCTCAACTAGTGGAAGATCAAGGCTTTCTTGATTCCTTGAAGGATCTTCTGTCAGATTCTAATCCCATGGTGAGATACAGGTCTTTATTTTTGAAAGTATTGTAACCCTCAAGTTCCACTGTCTGGGTCAGGGCATCCCAAAGTGCCAAATTCTTGTGAACAAACCGGACATAAAAAGGAGCCCCTAGATAGTGTTTCAAGTTCCCTCTTATTTTTTGAAATTTTCAATTATAGCTTGTATATCAACTTTGAGATGCATATTGTTGTGTAAATAAACAGAAAAAACTTAAACCTTGTTCTATCGTATTTATCAACCAGAAGAATGAATCAACATACATGTTAAATGAGGTGCATATACTTGTTGTATACATCTAATGACATTGAAAAACATTAGCAACATGATGAATTTTTTAGCTGTTCAGCTGTGGAGATCACCTGGTCAATATGACCAGACCTCAGTTTCAGTTATTCCTGTAACTTTTTCATGTTTGATTTTAAGTTGGCATGATAGCTCACTTAACAGCTATGACTTGTTGTAGGTTGTGGCTAATGCTGTGGCTGCCTTATCTGAGATTGGGGATGTTTCACCAACTGCTGCTGCCATGATGGAAATTAATTCTCAAACCATCAACAAACTGCTCACAGCACTCAATGAATGCACAGAGTAAGTAAAACATATAAAATAACAAAATTACATGCAATGATCTCAAAAGGCAGGGCGTGAAATTGATTTTTTTTTCTGATAGCCACTTGGCTCCTAAATTATTCAAAGTGGAAGCCAATACAAAAAAGTTGGTCGCCATTTTCAAAGACAAACAAACCCTTTTTTTTATGCTGTCATCGTTCTAGAAATTAAGTTAGGGAAAAGATCTTTCACGTGCTACAAAGTGGACAATAGAATGGATGATATGCAACGTTCAAGCTCACCTAAATCCATCCTAAATCTAGTTATCGATTGAGATGCATGTGCTGCGTTTTGGAAACAAACTTAATGAGGAAGTTTGCCGCGGATTTATATCTATATTTCTAAGTAAGATTATGATGAAACATTCTAGTCGCCAATTTGGCGACTAATTTTCAGGATTTGGTTGCCAAAGTAAAAAATTTAGTCGCATTGGCGCCTGTATTAGGCGCAATTTCACGCCCTGATGCCCTGGGTATTCAGTATTCAATGAGTTGTAATAGAAAATAGATGGATAAATTAATAAAACCTTCAATGCCTCATCCTTGCTACGACTCTTTCTCTGTTTTCTTTGTAATCCTGAGGTCAAGGAAACATGACATGAAAACTACCCTCAACAATAACTCTAGGGATTATTTGTGTGAATTTATGTAATTTTTTGACAATTTTACTCAAAACAGCTGTATGTTACTAAACCAAAGATTTCCAGCATGAGGATCATTCAATTGGTTTGACTTAAATGCTTGGAGGTTAGCCATTGAAATTAATTTTGGTTATTTTAATTTGTTTTTGTCTATTTTAATTTGTTTCTAGGTGGGGACAGATATTTATCCTTGACTCTTTGGCACAGTACACTCCTAAAGATGACAGGGAGGCTCAGAGGTGACAAATTTCTTTAAGGCTTAAATAATAGCAAGGTTAACTCATAATTTAAAATGTTCTCTATGTTAACTTTGATTTTGATAGAAATTCCAAATTAATTACATTGAATAAGTCAATTCAATCAATTTCAGGACAGCTTTAAACAGAATACAAGATTCCTTAAAATAAGCTGCCTTGATTATTTACCTAGTCAAAATTAGTGTTAAAAATACTCTAAATTCATAAAAGAAATAAGTTAAATATGATAAAAAATTGGCACTGAACTTTAAAATAATTTAGCAATTTCTTTCAATGAAAAATTGGTACTGATGTTGGTACTTATATTAAGCTTTGTAATTCTCTGTTTTTTCTGCAGCATTTGTGAGCGAGTCACCCCCAGGTTGTCTCATGCCAATGCTGCTGTGGTTCTGTCTGCTGTCAAGGTACAGTTTAATGAATATGTCTGCTCCAAGAGTACACTGTAGCTGTATTTGCATATATTGTTAGAGTCCTGTATTTGTCACAACCCACCAAAACGTTCCTCTTTCCCTAACTAGTTGTAACAGATTATGCTGGCATAATTTTTTTCTGTGTAAGGGTAGATTTGAGACATACTGCTGGTAGAATCATCTTTTTTACATGCAACACTGCCTGAAACCATGACACTGATTTTTTTTTTAAGTATAATATGTCAGACCCTTGTTAAACTTGTTTCTTTATCACTCATTAATCAAGTACACAGTTTGTGGGTAGCACAGGTACTATCCCTATAAAGACCTGAACTCTTTGATCAGGTTTCAATTTTTCCTACTGCAGCTCCTCTTTAAAGAAAAATCTGTTACTTTCTTAGATAATAATGGAGCTGCATCGTAAATGGGGTCTGTAGCTCACTGTTGTGGCTACCTTGCAATCCCTCATTTTTGCATTGAAAAACAGAAGTTGCTTTGTTTATTTACACCAATTGGTATTCTTATCTTCATGTTGTTTGAAGGAAGACCTACCTTTTGCTGATGTTTTATTAAATATCTACAGGTTCTTATGAAATACATGGAAATTATGACTCCCTCATCATCATATGTGCAGAATCTTGTTAAAAAACTGTCTCCACCCCTGGGTAAGTTAAAACTTCATTTTGTGGTTTGAAGTGAACACTCTAACAGTTGCTCAACAGTTTTGTCCAGTATTACACATGCATCTGTACGCCATATGCCATGTACAAGACCTGTGGATGTTCCTTTTGATTAAAGCTTCAGAACTGTCCAGTGATATATACTCTAAATTTTAATGTTCATTGTTTCTCTTCAGTGACATTGTTGTCCAGTGAACCTGAAGTCCAGTACGTTGCTCTTAGGAATATCAATTTGATTGTGCAAAAGAGGTAACTGTCAAATGATAACTCATTTCATTATGAGTCAGTTGCATGCATGGTGCTTAAAATGAATTGCATTAAAATGAAGTTCTATGTATCATTTTACAGAAGATCAAAATAATTACTATTTTCATTAAATTCTTCAACATGCAATGACAAATTTCATGACTGGTCTGTAGTGTAATTACAGATGTAGCACTATATTGTTAATTGGAATTACATGTACAGCATTTCTGACCAGTGAATGTTGTTTTATTGTGTAGGGCAGATATCTTGAAGAATGAGATGAAAGTCTTCTTTGTCAAGTACAATGACCCAATTTATGTAAAACTTGAAAAACTGGATATTATGATTCGGCTGTCAAATCAACAGAACATCGCCCAAGTCTTGGCAGAGTTGAAAGAGTAAGTTGTCTTCCTGGAGCTCAGCCTAATGTGGCCTTTTTCTATCATAGTAAAGTTTGATTTCAAGTATCAAGTAATTTTCTTCAATGTATATTGCACAAACATGTATATGGCACACATTTCAAAAGAATTCCAGGTATAAAAATGATCACAGAACATGTTTTTAAACTTCTGTAAATGGAAAAAGCTTAAACCATGTTCAATGTTTCCAAAGAGTAGAGCCATCTACACATTGGTTATGTCTCATTTTTCACTTCTAGAACTGGATTTCTGTTGCTCTCTGGTAATTTTCTATACAATAATAGGTTTAGATTGTAATACTTTGGTGTGGATTTCATTGACAACATGGGCGTAAATCATTTACCTGTGGTCCATACACAGTCTCCTATGTATTTTATACATGCACAGAGTAGATTGGACAACTTCTATGCTCAGTTACCCTTGTGAAAGTAAGAGAGACTTAAAAATTAATGCACATTCATGCCAAGGAAATACATACTGTCAAAGTACAAAATATATCACAATGTTAGAAATCTTCCTCAAGATTCAATTAAAAGCTTTTTCCATTGTGTGTGTGGAACTTTAGATGGTCAATAGTCTTTGCACTGAGGTAATATCCATTGTCATTTTTATTATATTCTTACCATATAGCAATGTATAAATCTTTCAATTCCAGGTATGCCACAGAAGTTGACGTTGATTTTGTAAGGAAATCAGTACGTGCAATTGGACGCTGCGCCATCAAAGTTGAGGTTTGTTGTAAACTAGTCACTTAGTGGTCAACATTCAAAGTGTTTAGGCTGGAGCCATGAAAACTGGGACAGCTCCATGTCCAGGTAAACTCGTCAGGAAAATTATTGTCAAAGGACAAATTTGTCTCTTTTTTAGTGTGACTTTATAGACTCCCATTGCCAACTAATAAACTTTGGTTTAACATGTACGTATTACAGTTTAAAAGGGCCATATGACGAATGTTTAACTTTGGATGAAATTTTTGTTTGTGAATTTTAATATATTTCATTCCAAAAGTTTACTAGTTGGCTTGACTTGATTTAGTTGAGTTAGTTTTTGTGGCTCACTATCTAAACATTATTAAATGTTGATAACTACATTTTGAGATGCACCGTTCATGCAGACACACAATAACTTACATACACATGGGAAACACTCTCATTGCCCCTGTTCTGCAATGAGATTCCTAAAAAAGTACAATGAAATGAAAGGTTCATTGACTAAAGAAACCCATACTGTGGGCAATGTACTTAATTTCATTGAAACTGGGCAACAGTTCAGAAGAAGGTATTGATGGTTGGAGCTTCCTACATGTAGTTGTCTGATTTTGTGAATCATATGATTACAGACCAAATTGGATTCACTCAGTCCTAATATATCCCAGTGGGTCCTATGGTGCATTCACTTTACATGTACTATGTCTTAAACTCTGAGGCGACTGAAGTTGGAAGGTTGCATATTTAAGTCTGGATGATATTTCACCAAAGAATCATTGGGAAAAGTGTTTTTCAAAAACAGTGGAGAGAACTGGATGCCCTCGGAAGTGTCTTCCTAAACAGGGGTCTTAAGGGTGAATGCTGCTACAACTACAACATAAACAAAGGAGGTGGTATTCTGTGCTAACCTTACTCCTAAAGGCAGATGGTCGTGGATGATTTTCTTGGGAAGATGATATGCTGTGTTGTATATAAAAAGTTTAAAAAACATATACCAGTATGTAAAACTGTCAGTGTGTTTATGTGTAAAATTTATCTTATTTGTTAATAGATGATCTCTTTTGTAGCAATCTGCAGAACGCTGTGTGAGCACTCTCCTGGATTTGATTCAAACCAAGGTTAACTATGTGGTACAAGAAGCGATTGTGGTTATCAAGGTGACATATTTACTTCAGCCTCTTCTTCTCAGCACATAATTGATAGAAGTTTTCAAGGAAACATTTATCCTTCCAACAGCATCATGGTGCTTAGATAGCAGTTCCTCACTGTACTCCCCCAAAGCTGCAATTAATCATAGTACCCCAAATTTACCACACAGAGGCAGCAGAGTGCTTTGAAGTGTGTGTTGGGAGGGGGGGGAGAGGGAAGGGAGAGGGGAGGGGTGGCTATCTTATGTACTAAGCTAAGTACACACCCTTAACTCAAATTTTTCCAAAAATTCTTTTTAATGTTGGCCTCTTAAATGCAGGCTGGCAGTGTTTAAATGAAAAAAAATCCTACCACATTGAGTTTCACCAAGCATGCAGCTTATGAAAAATTGAAAGACAAATTCCTTATTTTAGGTTTTTGGCTTTTTTGGATGGTGTTTGTGACCTTTGGTGTTTCTGATGTTCTTGTGTATGTGTTTATGTTTTACCTTTGCTGTTTAAAATTAGGACATATTCAGGAGATACCCAAACAAGTATGAAAGTATAATCTCCACCTTGTGTGAAAATCTGGATTCATTAGATGAGCCTGAGGCGAGGTGAATATATCTGGGCTACTGCCTTTGGTCATTTTTCTTCAAGATGAAGATGTTCTTGATAGTGAAATTTTTCAAACTGTTGAATTTACGTTCGCATGTACGTGTACATGCTAAACTTCCACCTTACTCAACAAATCTTTCTGTTTCCCTTGTTGTTTTGTAAATATTTCCAATAAAAGTAAAAAAGAGGGGAGCAGAAGCAGTTTTTGTCTCACCTGGGAAATTGATTGAGTTCTCTTTCAAACATAGTTTTATAGCTGTGAAATATTATTGTTTCTTTGGATTGTGGAAATATTTGCTCCTTTTTATTTGGTGACTTTCAGTTTAACATCTCCACATTTTAGTAAGTACTTACTTACACTGATTTTAATGATTCATAGGGCATCGATGATTTGGATCATTGGTGAATATGCTGAGCGAATTGACAATGCTGCAGAGCTATTGGAGTCCTTCCTGGAAGGTTTCCAAGATGAAAATTCTCAGGTGCAAATTTTTATAAAAAGCATGTGACATTTTTTTTCAAATTATGATATTGATTTAGTGTCAAAGACATAATCCTATAATATCATTACTCCTCTTGCATAAGGTTCAACTGCAGCTGCTGACATCCATTGTGAAGCTGTTCTTGAAGCGTCCAACTGACACTCAGGAGCTAGTGCAACAGGTCTTGAGTCTGGCAACACAGGATAGTGATAACCCAGACCTAAGGGACAGGGGCTACATCTACTGGCGGCTTCTTTCAACTGACCCTGTGGCAGCAAAGGTGCGATAATTAGGTTCTCTATTCCCAACATTAATTAAGTATCCCTCTTTCATGAAATCAGTTTCTGAACACAGTAGTCCATTCTGGTTTTCATGGCAGGAAGAAATTATGAGTATTGCTGGTCTAGCTAGATTGGATGCCAATCCATCATAGGTTATTTCCCAGCTTTCACTGCATCAGTGGGAGAGGAAAATGTTTTGTTGGACTCTGTGACCCCTAAGAGTGACTAGCAGGTAATTTTTCACTAAACATCAGTCTTGAGTCACACATTAAGGTCACAAGAATAAAGGAAATGACCACCAACTAAAGAAGTTCTTGATAATTAAACAAATTCTCCTTATCAGCACCTCAGGAAATTTATAGAGAACATTATTGAGAACATGCATATTGATGTCAGGCAGTGAAGGGTTGAGCATAATTATATCCTTATGGTTTGGCTGGAATTGGAACATGGACCTCTAAACGAGGGGTTCAGCATGTTAACTACAAGGCCACTGTTTCTCAAACTCTTGTCCATAGCATGACACAATTTGACAATATCATTTTTCCTCCCTGATGCTGCAGAAATCACCATTCATTTTTTGGAATTCCCACTAGTACTTGTGGAATTTTTTTGAATGTGTCTAAAACAGGAATTGTGTAGTTATCAGGACTCTTGTAAGAAATGCTGTACATTTATGTAAACAGTGTTTTATTGGATTTTCCATAGGAAGTTGTGCTGGCTGAGAAGCCCCTGATATCTGAAGAAACTGACCTCCTAGAACCCACTCTCCTTGATGAACTGATCTGCAACATTTCCACATTGGCATCTGTGTATCACAAGCCACCCAGCTCATTTGTTGAAGGGCGCACTGCTGCAAGGAGATTCACCTTGCCACCGAGGGCTGAGCCATCTCCAGGTACCGTGCTTAACTTTCCAGATAACGTACCTTTTTAATAATTTAGTTTACCCTCATTGCCCCTCTCTTTAACGATGTGATGCTCTGGTGCCCTTGTGATGGAGAAAAATTAACTTCAACCCAGGTTGCCCCTTGCAGGAATTTCTAAAATAGTTGCTGGGTAAGCTGTTCAGTCAACATGATGTGGTCAAGATTGCTATAAGTTAAGTTGTTTGCTCAGTTTGGGCATGAAGAGAATTCTAACATGTGTCATAGCAATAGCCTTACAAGATTCTGACCATCTTGACTAGGGGCTGAGACTGAGGAAGCTACCCCTGCTCCATCCCAACCAGTTGCAGCTCCAGTAACTGCTTCAGTGGCAGCCCATGCGCCACCATCTCAACCAGCAGCTGACTCCTTACTTGGTGACCTGTTGATGGACATGGGACCCACTCAACCTGCTGCCCCACCTGTGCAGCCAGCAGCAGGTATGCAGATATTATGTCACCTGTCATTTCTCAGTGATGTCTTCTCACCTAGTATGGTAAACAGAAAAATGCAGAAAGTTACTCATTAACGTGCTAAGCACTTGTCATTCATTCCTCCAGTTTATTACTCCAATTTATTGCTTCAAATACTTCTACTAAGCTTGTAGGTGTGGTTTGCTTAAATTATTGGTGCATTGACATTTAAACGCTGTATTAATGTCACAGAAACTAAGACAAGCTCAGGTGGCGTGAGCCATTAGGTTCGTGTGCAGACTTGGCCTACGTATAGTAATCAACCCACAAGTAAAGTAATCATTTTTGTCCTTTGATTCAGCGGCAGGGGGAGGAGGAGTTATGGATCTTCTGGGAGAAGACCTAAGTGGTTTACAGGTGAAAAGTCTCTTTCTACATGTTTTTAAAACGTAGCTGAAATTACTGTGAGGCAGTTAAAATTATGTGATGTTGCACCTAGAGCAAAAGCTGTACTTTAAAGAGACAGAATACTAGAAGATCGCTTTCTTGAAAACAACCATCTTTAGGCTACTAAAAATGTCAAAGGTTTAGAACTGAGATCTTTTGCGTCGGCAGCATGGCTCCCCTTGGAGTCAAGGATCGCTTCTCGTCTGTCTTGTCCACTCCCTTGATTACATCTTCTGACAATACCAGTGCACTTTTAAACAGTGTTGGGATGAAAATGGAGAAAAATATTTACTTGGTGATATTGGAATACGAACGAGTTGGCATTAATCAGGTCCTTTGCGGGTTTGCGCAAAGATTTCGCCCCGTGGCGATCTCAGAAATCCATGCATAAACGTAAAGATCCGATCACTGGCAACTCATTCATTGCCAGTATTGTATTAAGTAATTTAGTCATACATCATCCGTTACCATGCATTTTTAATAGCATAACTTCATACTTCAGTACATGTGTTGATTGCCTCTATTAAATTTTAGTTCATAATCTACCGTGACCAACTTGTCCGCCACATTGGCGTAACAGTTTCTCAAGAAATTGATGACTTTGCTTATTGAATTCTCTCTCAGCTTGGTGGAGCTCCAAGTCCTGCTCAGCCAATGGGAGGGCCGATGGGGGGCTTGGGCGATCTTTTCAGTCTGTCTGGGGGACCTGGTATCTCAGGAGGAATGTACTCTGCGCCTAAACAGGTTGGGGACAACTTCTTTCGCTTAATTTACTCCGCTAGAACTTAGAAGCACGACATAATGGCATGCCTAGTTCGTGTATGCAAAGAGACCAAGTGGATACCTAATACTCTGAGCTAATGCAATTTTCATGGAAATTTCAAATTGGTAACTAAGAGTGTAATGTTGAGTGATAATTTAAACGTTAGAATGGCTGAAATCGTAGTGTTTTGAACCTCGTTGATTCACTAAGTGAACCATTCCCATCACAATCCTCTGAGATGCATTGAGCTCCCTAAGAAACATTCTCGACAGAGCACTGAGCCTGTGTAGCTGACTCTTTGCTGGGAGGTTGTAGCGATGGAGCCGTGAGAGGAGTGGGAATGAGAAGTTTCAGCCTCACGATTTCAGACTAAATTGCATATATTAAATTTTATAGATTAGTGAAGATGGTTTTGGAAATTCTGCATACCCTATGAATCACTTTGCCGCGTATAGTGGGAAGAGATTTAAGAGTCATCTCTTTTAAGATAGGCACTGATTGTTTGTAAAATCTTGTTGTTGTTGTTGTTTTTTTTTGTTGTTGTATTTATCTTGTTGGACCGTAAAGGAATTTTGAAGTTAAAATGTTGCTAGCTAAAACTACGGTTCTGCCAATTGACTGTTACTGACAACAATGTTTTTCGGGACTATCCCCACCTGGCCGATCACACCACAACGGATTGTTCCTCCGGTGTTAAAAGTAGTTACTGTACGAATATGAGTTACAACATGTGTTTTTTTGTTGTAGTTTCACTGTGACATTGTTGAACTGACACGTGTTTCAATTTTGTTTTGTAGATGTGGCTCACTGCTGCCAAAGGGAAAGGAGTTGAGGTTTTAGGTATAATTGTTAGAATTATTAATTTAACTAGCTCTGCAGCTCTTGTAGTAACCATCGCAATGAAGTCTGTTATTTTACTGATTTCTCGTGGTAAACAAAAAGTCGTTTTTCTTGAACAGGAACATTTTCTCGACGTCAAGGACAGATTTACATGGATATGACATTCCACAACAAAGCCATGCAAGCCATGGGAGACTTTGCAATCCAGTTCAATAAGAACAGGTGGGTAGCAATTATTTTTAGTTAAGAATGAAGCGCATCGAAAAAGTGACTTCTTTGAGAGCCAGGTCCTTTATTCCACGCTCCTGACAAGTGATGTCATTGATAGGCTAAGTGTCTTGCCTCCTTTCTTTCAGTTTTGGTTTGGCACCCGGTTGTCCGCTAAACATTCCATCGCCGTTGCTCGCCAACTCCTCCGCGGAAACTTCGCTTCCTGTAAACACAAGTACGTAAACTTTCGATTTGAAGTACAAGTGACACGTCAACTTGTGAGTGGTCAGATCTATCTTGTTATTCTTTCGTCTGCCTTCTATACATTTCCTTGAAGTAACGTCGAGAGATTTTTTGTTGCTAGAACCACCCCCCAGCTGACAAGATTTAGTATTCTCGTAACCTGTTTGCTGGATAGTGTGTTGAAATTATGAGTAGTTACGTGATGACTTACTGTGGGAGTACAAGGGCTAAAAATCTTGTTAAGATACCGCTAGGTGAATGTTTATCGGTTTTTCACGGGGACGAAGTCGCTGTTGAGTAAAGCAATAGACCGCACTTTCCATATAACCCACGCGGGATGCTGATTTTCTGCAATTAGTTTGTTTTAATTCATGTTCGTATTCGCGTATTTGAAAGAAGGACTGTAATCGAGGAAGTGTATTACACAGATATGTTACGAAGTAAATCACTTACGATATTTAGATGATAATAATCGTCCATCGATACTGCAATCACTTCTGGCGGATTCCTGCCTCCTAAATTCCAGTTGGGTTTAGTATGGGACCGAGGCTTGGCCCAATTTAGGCCAACATCAACTGTATTTCTTGCTCCTCGTTGAGGTTTCTGATCTGTAACGGGATGTGGAATAATTTAATTTGACCATTTGATAATAAAAGGAACATTTTTCTCTCATTTTTCAATTTTTTTCCGACTAGATGGCGCTGTGCTGAGAATGGACCCACTTACAAACCTCCAGGTGGCCGTTAAAAATAATGTGGATGTGTTCTACTTCAGTTGCACTGTTCCTTACAACGTGCTGTTTTCAGAAGATGGCCAGATGGGTGAGTCTTACCCAGGCCACCGCGACTTAGTTGAACATTATTTACTGTTTGGGAATCTGGACCCAGTTGTTCGAAGGCCGACTAGCGCTAACTCAGGCTTAAATTTTTAATCCAGGTTTCTTTATTTCTTTGTTCAAAAACCTTTTAGGGAAAATTTTTTCTATTTTTTATCTAGGACATCTAATCAAATGACAAGCCAAAAGATTTGAACTGAAATTTCCTCTAAAGCTTTCAGACCTGAAATCAAATTTTAACACTAACCCTGGGTTATTTTGACCGAACCAGGCCAATTTCCAAGTAGGTTTACTAATAACTTAGTCCCGGGACTCCTCTTGGCTGATGTAAAGCACTGGTACTGTTCGCTGTTGTACAATATCGAAACACACTCGTGGGACCGGCTTCTGACTTGTGGTGCCTGTTATTGTATCACCTCCCTCACATGCAATACAAGGTTCATTTTTATCCTCCAGTAGACCTTACTATTGTATTTCAACATTGCTTGAGGGAAAGGGGTGGGGGGTTAATAAAATCTGCTTTATTAAACTACTTAGGTTTTTTTAAGCAAGTAACATTTTAGAGTTCTAAGAATTTTCTTGCCGTAAAATAATCCGGGAAAGATGAAATAAACCAAAATGAGCCAACTGACAAGAAACAAGGTCGGGTAAGGATGGGAGAATGTTTTCTCTGATTGGAAATGATCATCATGTAAAGTCTGGGTTAGATTTTACATGATGAACTAACGGTGGTGTAGCGTCTTATGTGAACGCTGGAACAGTTTTTCAATTAATTCTGACCCTCGGGGTCAGAGCCACTTAGTGTGAAACTCTTTGAACTCGACATTGTTCATGGCAATTTAAAGAAAAAATGACCGGGTGTAGTGTTAGTTATTATTATTCTTTTCCTTTATTTATCTATTTGAATCATATCTATGCAGAACAATTTAAAACTTCTCAAAATTTTCTTGTTTTGTTTCTTTCAGATCGCAAGGTGTTTTTAGCCACGTGGAAGGACATACCTGCAGGGAATGAAGTTCAGAATCAAATCACCAATGTAAATTTTTCTTCAGGTAAGATTGCCATATGTGTACCGGATAGTCGATGTTGTCTCTGAATGTTGCACTAACATTATTTTCCATTTGTTGCCTTCGCTTTCTTTTGTAGAAGTTGCTCAACAGAAACTTTCTGCCAACAACATATTTACTATCGCAAAACGTACAGTGGAAGGCCAGGTATTGAAATAGAGTTGAATAATTCTTACAGTTCACAGGCTGGTTCAGAATTAAGGACTGCACGTCCGTGGAACTAAACTGCTTAATCAAATGATCTGATACAACTATCGATGACTGAATATGAACAAAGAAGCTGCTTTCCTCTCGTGACTTGAAGTCCCAGCATTTCAATTTTGTAATGCGCTTACTCATTGAAAAATTCCACTTTACCCTCAACAGTATAAAGCTCGAGTGAGCCGCTTTCTGCTAAGTATATAGAGCTGTCCGCTTGGGGGTGTCCGAGCGCAAAGAACGCAGCAATAATAGTTTGCTTTTTTTTCCATGATATGTTTTCCAACTTTTGTTATTTTTTCGCTAGGACATGCTTTACCAGTCACTGAAATTCACTAATAATATCTGGGTTTTGGCCGAACTTAAGATGCAGCCTGGTAACACTGTGGTGCAGGTATGAAGCCTTAAAATAATTGTTTTGTTTTACATTGCAGTGGCTATCCTTATAGACAATTTTAAAACTCGGTCCCCTTTTTAAAGAACAAACTTTTTGGATCAGCACAGTCATGATGACAGATCTTTAATGTCGAATTCGTACGAAATATTTTCTATGCCTTCCCCTGCATCTTTTCATAACCCATTCACCCAATCTATCTGTCTCCTCCGCCCTCAGACCATGATCCATTCACCGTCGTTCTCGCTTTGTAGAAAAAAGCATTGAACCCAAGGTAAACCACACAAACCGCGATAAACAGATCACCTCTGTGATTTTCAAAAAGTAACGAAAACTTGCTTGTCTTTCTAACAGTTGTCGCTGAAGACGCGAGCCATGGATGTTGTTATGGGCGTACAAGCTATGTACGAGACCGTCCTACACAACTAAAGGCCTGGAGCTGATTCAAATGTAAAGGAATCACCGTTACGTCTCACACTGAAAAGCATAGTACTGAAAATAATAAATAATAAACTGTAACATTCAGTGTTTACTGAAATAAAAGTAACTTGTTCTTACGAATGTCCTTTGTTTGTTCGTTTTTCTTAAAGAATGACAGAACAAAATAAAACGAAAAAACCTGTAGTTTATGCTGGGAGAAATACTGACCGCCAACTCAAGTGTCCAGTCAAACAAATGCAACCGTAATAACCACTAATTTAAAAATTTTATCAGCGCATTTAACGTCATTGATTATGTAGTGTAAGCGAGGTTCAGGGAAAGGCCTCATTAGAGCAATTTCCAATTGTGTCGAAAATCATCCGGGATATTTACTTCGTTGTGTGATTGGTCCAGGAAACTCGCACCACTTTCTTAACTGTCAGATGCAAAACCAAAAACCGATCACGACTAGGTACTCCGCGTTTTTCTGTGCGTGAGGCAGTCTGGCTGTTTCTACTTTGACTTTTTATTGGCTCTTAGATACATCTTTTCTGATTGGTCAATGTGATTTCCTTGGTTTTGGTTTTACGACAATCGAAGAGTGCTTCAGGCAGATTTGTGACTCCCTTGATCTGTATTACGACCGGAAGCAACTGACTGAAACAATTCATACATAACACGACGAATGCTATAGACACTTCTTTTTCGACCAAAACTTTGTTGATGCACGGTATTACATTTCCAGAGGGGTTACGCTTGGAATAATTCAAACATTTTAAGGAAGAGTGAGCTTATTATGTGCTCAGAATAATCCACATCTCAAAGATCAGAAAAGGAGTTTATTAAGGACTCGCTTTTCATGATCCTAACGTTTATTAACATAAGAAGTACGTCTATTGGTAATATGGATTAATTACCATTATCTAAGCAACTGCATACTTAACCCTACCCTACCCTACCCTACCCTACCCTACCCTAACCCAACAGTAACCATGGCTTGTTAGCAGTTGACTGTCTTAGGGTTGGGGGAGGGGTAGTTGCCCAGATACAGACATAAAGACGGTTTAGCCCAGTGTAGTTCATGTAAAATTTAGGATGTACCTCGTCAGTCACGACTAAGGCGCCACGTTTACATTTGCACTGAACAGTTCTATGTGCTGTTCTCTTTTTTCCTTTTCACTCTCGCTTCACTGGTGCTCAGTCAGTCGAGAACGAGGTGAGTTATGTTCTTTCCAGCCGATTAATGATCAGGTACAATGCACACGTGGTCCTCTGAAATATATATTTGGCCCTGTGATTCAATCAATTCTAGTGGTAAGGAAACATCATTACGAATTTACACTTTTCTGTCGTTAGACTGACAACGGTTTCTGCGGTTAAGCTATCTGTTAAAAGCACGGTTAAATGCACGCAACTTTTCAACGCAACATCCTGAAACATTGTTGCGTGCAACGTGTTGCACACGTTTGGCCAACCTGAAGCAACATGTGGCAAGACATTAGTTGGTGTTGGACAAGGTTTGAAAATGGTCAAGTTTTTGTTACAACATTTTCGGATGTTGCAAGATGCTGCGCGTGTTTTTCCAACCCCTTCACAACATATTCTAACATGATCCAACAATGTTGCAAGACGCTTCGTTGAAATGTTGCCTGCGTTTGGCCGGGCCTTACAATGCTACCCAGGTGTTATTAAAAAAACTGTTGGTTTACCCTACGGCCAATTGTACGGCAAAAAGCAGGGTAATAATCAGCCTTAATGGTGAAAAATGGATAAACCCTGCGGCGTTCAAAGGAACTGGAAATTGTCGTAAACTTTAGTTTTACCTCGTCAGTCACGAATAAGGCGTCACGTTTACATGCTGTTCTCTTTTTTCCTTTTCACTCTCGCTTCACTGGTGCTCAGTCAGTCGAGAACGAGGTGAGTTATGTTCTTTCCAACCGATTTATGATCAGGTACTATGCACACGTGGTCCTCTGAAATACAAAGTGTTGGTGTTGGATAAGGTTTGAAAATGGTCAAGTTTTTGTTACAACATTTTCGGATGTTGCAAGATGCTGCGCGTGCTTTGCCAACCTTTCACAACATCTTCTAACACGATCCAACAATGTTGCAAAACGATTCGTTGAAATGTTGCCTGCGTTTGGCTGGGCCTTTACAATGCTACCAAGGTGTTATTAAAAAACTGTTGGTTTACCCAACGGTCACTTGAAAAGCAAAAAGCAGGGTGGATAAACCCTGCGGTGTTCAAAGGAACTGGAAATTGTCGTAAACTTTAGGGTGTACCTCGTTAGTCACGAATAAGGCGTCACGTTTACATGCCGTGCTCGTTTTTTTCCTTTTCACTCTCGCTTCACTGGTGCTCAGTCAGTCGAGAACGAGGTGAGTTATGTTCTTTCCAACCGATTTATGACCAGGTACAATGCACACGTGGTCCTCTGAAATATAAATTGTTGGTGTTGGATAAGGTTTGAAAATGGTCAAGTTTTTGTTACAACATTTTCGGATGTTGCAAGATGCTGCACGTGTTTTGCTAACCCCTTCACAACATCTTCTAACACGATCCAACAATGTTGAAAGGCGTTCCGTTGAAATGTTGCCTGCGTTTGGCCGGGCCTTTACAATGCTGCCAAGGTGTTATTAAAAAACCGTTGGTTTACCCAAACGTCACTTGTACAGCAAAAAGCAGGGTAATAATCAGCTTTAGTAGTGAAAAATGGATAAACCCTGCGGCGTTCAAAGGAACTGGAAATTGTCGTAAAAGTTAGGGTGTACCTCGTCAGTCACGAATAAGGCGTCATGTTTACATGCTGTTCTCTTTTTTCCTTTTCACTCGCTTCACTGGTGCTCAGTCAGTCGAGAACGAGGTGAGTTATGTTCTTTCCAACCGATTTATGATCAGGTACAATGCACACGTGGTCCTCTGAAATACAAAGTGTTGATGTTGGATAAGGTTTGAAAATGGTCAAGTTTTTGTTACAACATTTTCGGATGTTGCAAGATGCTGCACGTGTTTTGCTAACCCCTTCACAACATCTTCTAACACGATCCAACAATGTTGAGAGACGTTTCGTTGAAATGTTGCCTGCGTTTGGCCGGGCCTTTACAATGCTACCAAACGTCACTTTGGTTTACCCAAACGTCACTTGTACAGCAAAAAGCAGGGTAATAATCAGCTTCAGTGATGAAAAATGGATAAACTTTGCGGCGTTCACAGGAACTGGAACTTTTCGACGCACGGAAATCATGCTCAAGCCCTGGACGACTCCTTGCACCATACCCTCTAGCTCACGGTTGGCCATGTTGATTACGGCGACGGAATTATTAGCTGTAGCTGGTGTTACCATCCAAGGCCCTGCTACGATGAGAGAACGGCTCACAGCATGCATACCAGGTGCCGTCAGTACACTCCCGACCCCATCAATGTAGCTCACTCGAAGAGAATCCAGATCCAACACTGCAATCTTATCGAGGTATACGAGGCTGATGTAAGCTACATAGGAAATATTGGGGTCGAACACTAGTCGACTGACACCTCCAGGGATTTTCACCGTGGGTTTTTGAATTGGAGCGCTGTCCTTACCAGAAACGACAAGAATGACCACTTCACTGGTGAGGAGCATGTTGATTGATTCGTTGACGGATTTGTAAAGGGTTACAATGTACCGGCCGTATTTAGAAGCGTAGGGACGTCCTGTGAAATTATAGCTTCGGACAACTTGATCAGTAGCTATGTCAAGCTCCAGGAGTGTCTTGGATCCCCTGCAGTCAAAAAAGCCGTGCTTATTCACCGGGCTGTACGCAAAGTTCAAAGTTCCTCCACAGCCATAGTTTGATACATCCACGAAGTCTTTGTATGTCTTAGATGACAAGTCGAGTTGATGAATTCCTGGGTTGGACATATGTGTTACGTAGCCTAAGTTTCCATTCGCTATTTGCTGGTCGGCGTACATGTAACCATGTGTCCAGCCTATGAGAATGAATGAAGAACGATTTAATAGAGAGTGTAAAATGTCACTATGGCAACGTGTGGGAAAACGTTGCTGAAAAAACGAACCTTCTTTCATCCCCTTAGAGTTTTCCCGGTAGCTCGATGCGTTAACCGTTTCTGATGGTGCGATATCTTCCTTGTAGCATAACATGTGGATGTAGTGATAATTTCAAAGTAAAAACGAGACTAAATTGCGGTCAAAGTTTCCTTACCAAAAGGACGTAATCTATAAACTTTTTAAAACGCACGTGCTGTGCTATTGTTTTGCTCATTAGATTTTTTGTTTCGCCATGTTCTCGTTGCCGTCGCTGTCGTGATTTTCTTAAAGTCCCTAATAATGTGAAAGAACTGGGTCACGATCAGTTGAATCCGAGCTTGGTGGCTTGTTCTGCAAGAGCTCATAGAGGTTCCTGAAGCATTATGGGATTTGGGGTCAATGCATCTCCCACTGGATGGGTTGGATTTCTTGACATGGTTAGATTTGGGACTGTCTATTCTAATGTACTTTTTAAATCCTGTGACTATCAGAAAAAAAAACAAACAAACAAGAAAAAACAAGGAAAATACTGTTGTGTGCATTAATGAACGATGATTTGATACAAGAGAACATCATCTCATATTGTTTTTTACGATGTTATATCTACGTCTCTTTGTTACTTACCCGGTTGCACATGCGCCTTAATGGCGGTATGTGTCTTCTCCAGACTTCCCGCGGTACTGATGACGTCAAACGTAGAGCTCGCCCACGAGTGAACCCAGACTTCCTCTAGCCAGGGAAGGTAGTACAAGTCATAAGGATATCCCCCGGTTGCAATTCTTTCTTTAACCTTCAAAGGTGAGGACATCTCTTCAGTACATCTTTAGATATTTTAAGATCTTGAAAGAAACGTAAAGGTGCAACAAATCTTTCTTTTCCCTCTGGTGAGCGGGGCTTACAGACCATGCACATTACCTAATTGTTTGAAAATGTCAATTATAAAAAAAGACAAAACTTTGCTTTGCAAGCATAAAGCGCAAAAAAGGGGAAAATACTGAGAAATATTCAAGAAGTGTATGACTTAAAGCTTAGGCATGTCATTTAATCAGGCGGCCCTTTACTCTTCAGCCCTGGATCATTTTCATTTCTCCTGGTGAGCAATATACAATGGTGCCCCAGATATATCATTATGCAAATAAATTGTTATTCCTAATCGCACCTCTTGTTTTTCCACATCAATAACATGAACTCGATTCCCAGGAATGTCGCTGAAGAAAATCAGTTCATCCTTAACAGAAATAACTCCTCCAAAAGAACACTTTTTCCTAGAATAACGAGCAAACAGAATCATTATTGAAAAGCACAGCGTGTTTACGTCGGGGAAGATTCGTTCCACTTGACGCTCTGTCGTTTGGTCGAATTGTCTGAACGGATTTCTGTGTGTCAGAAATGTCGGTAAAATCGGAATATTTCTATTTAAATTCTCTTTAAATTTTATTTAAATTCTCTTTTAATGTCCGTTTAAATTCTTTTTTTTACATAAAGGTTTACAGCCTTACCTGGAAAAGCGATTGTTTGACTTAGTGCAGATATCATCAGTGATATTATGCAAAACTTTTTTGCTCTTCGGGTCAATGATTTCAACGCCCTCGGATCCAAATACGTACACCAGGTGTTCGGGTGTATTTGACAAGACTGATGCTTCTTTTACACTAAAACAAACTAAAACGAAATGAAGCAAAAGTTGGTATGAACAGAAAAAACACTTCTGATAGGAGGCAAAATTTTGTTTCCGTAAACGTTACTTTGTAGCGGCTTGTCGAAAATCCCACATTGAGTGGAAGACATACACCTAATCCGATGATAATATATACAATACGTGCGGATATCGGCGAGTTGCGTATTATTTTTTCGAGCCCCGTTTTTGTGTTTTTAGCACGTTTTTCCTAGCCCCACTTTTTAATCCTGTGATCTATTACTGTTCAGACGCACGGCAACATGGAATCTGGGATTTTTCAATGATGTAGCTCCTTTAACTATTTCTGGAATATTCCAAATGCTGCGCTTAAGTTAATCGAAACAATCTCCAGCTCTGGGAGGTTACGTGTTTCAGGTTTCGATGATTCATGGTTTCGTGGTAATCAGAGACAAACAGGTTCCGGGCATAGTTACAGGGAACAATCTTTGGGACATGAATGTTTAGAGTTCGGAATAGGATAACAACCTGGGGTAAGGATTACGATGTCTGTGAACAGATCGAAAGTACCATAAGTTTGAGGTTAGAGAGGCTTTTAGAAAAAGCGTTAAATTAGCTCATATGAATTCTGTCGAAAATGACCGTGGAATCGCCCCTAGCTCAACGTTAAGGCCAATATCAATCGTACGAGACAACACAGACTACTTGTTGAACGCGCGGAACAAACAATCAACGCAGTGTAATATGTTGAAGAACAGCATAACCCCATGTTTGTAAAGACTTACCAGTTGCAACAAAAGTAAATCCAAGAAGGAAAACCTTCGCTGAAAGCATTTTCAACAGGTGTTGGCTCGATTTGATACGAGAATCTGTCAATGTGGTAGTGAAAATTTTAAGACTGGCCGCTCCTAGAGACAGGAAAATGTTAAAAATAAACACACCTTAAATGGTTTGTGACGTACTTTTATGTTTTGCAATATAATTTGTGGCAAAGTCACGCTATCGTCAAATCGCACTCGCGCTTTTAATGGGAAAGGATTAAGTTGAACCTCCGGCGATCAATCGACAACAAATTACAGAGCACAACTTACATGGGATAGATAAGCCACAAAAGCCCTTTTGTAACGAAGAGAAATTCTTGTTATTTTGTTGCTTCGTGCGGCTAAAAACGAAACATTACATCATATGCTATACTTGGGTCTTATAGAAATTTTGACAAGCTCGACCGAACTTTCAGTAGGTTGGATAAAAATGAGCATATTTAAAAATATTGTCAAAAGCACTTGAAATTTTGGGACAACTACTCATCTTCAACTTCAATGTTATTGAAAAGTGTTTCTTTTAGTCAAGGCTAAAGGTTTTTGAAAGTTCCCTCATTTTCTAAGTCTGATAGAGGGAGTTTCCTGGTTTTACCTGTCTTTTCTAGTTGTCGACTTCTTTGAACCTAAAGAAAGTCTCTTAAAGTAGTCGTGTTGTTGTTGTTGTTTTTGTAGTCCTTACGCAAGTTTTAAGGTTGATATGTCTGCGAGTCCGCATCCGCATATGTAGTTTTTAGATTAAGGTGTCTAAATAAAGGACATAAAACAGTAGTTCGACCAACTGTTCCGAATTCGGGCCTCTCGGACCCGAGTCCAGCGCGTTAACCGTTTTCCCCTTCTTGTCATCACTAGTGGTTGGCTGATCAGATGAAACAGAGAATGAAGAAGAACTGAAACGACACGTGTAGACTCTTGATACCTTCCGCATCTAATTACATATTTAAATCAAAGAACTCAGCACAAAGAAGCTTCTTAAACTTCCAACATGGAAATAAAGCAAATTTTCATAACAAAAACGGTATTTTCCGCCCAAAACAAGTTTTATTTCAACTTTACTAAAGTTCGTAAATTAACAAAAACCCTTCGTTTTAAATAAAAGCGCCCTGATTTTACACTCCGTTACCACGAAGACATCGTTTTCTTCTATAGGGAAGATATAAGATATCATGTTTTCGGAACAAGATAACTTTTGATATTTTATCAATATCTGAACAGTTGTTTAACCGAAAGTGTAGCAAAGATAGATAAACGAATAGAGACTACGTGCGTGGGTTAAGCTGATATAAGGATATCGATCGGAAGAAGATGAATTATAAAAGATCATTGAAGTTGCAAAAGTATCAAAGAAAGAAGTGAGAGCAAAGCCTAAATTCAGTGCTTCTGTTGTTTAGAGCACTGCATCAGTATCACGGAATGTTTATACGTTAAAACTCGTTTATACAGTGCACTAAAGCTGTGAAAGTGGCATGATAACACTGATACAACGGCCCATGACAACAGACAAAGTATTCGCCCTGTTGGAAAAACTTCTCAGATCTCACCCTAAATAAAGATACCAAGCTAGTGTGGCTCTCTCGGAATAAAACAACGTTCAGTTTTGACTCAAACGTTTATTTTCAGAGCGGCCTCTAGAAGCCTGCACTTGTTCAGCGGTATCCGTTGTTTGCCGGCGAGTAGTCTTTAAGGCGATCACGATGTACCTGGAGGCTAACAACAATGTGCTGTAGTCACAGAATACAACCTCTTTTCAGTATTACCGACTGACGTACAACTGAACCTTTCAATGACTAGTAACATTGCAATATTCTTTTTAGGAATTAAAAGTGCAATTTTTATTCAAAACACAATCTTGAAATCATTGTTTTTATGTGCTTTATGCTGTAAAAGTCTAGGTTCGTTATAGAAGTTGCTCAACAGAAACTTTCTGCCAATAACATATTTACTATCGCAAAACGTACAGTGGAAGGTCAGGTATTGAAATAGTGTTGATTAATTCAAACAGTTCACAGCCTGCTGTAGAATTAAGGTCAGTCGAGCTAAACTGCTCAATCAAATAATCCGATGCAACAATCGATGACTGGATATTATCTGGATGAAATTACTCAATCAAACGATTTATTACAAAAATCGAGAATGTATTAATTCATCAAAAAGGAACTATTCACGCTCTGAGTCGCCTTAAACTCTTTTATCTCCCTTACACAAAGAAGCTGCTTTCCTCTCGTGACTTGAAGTCCCAGCATTTCCATTTTGTAATGCACTTACTCATTGCAAAATTCCACTTCACCCTCAACAGTTTAAAGCTTGAGTGAGCCGCTTTCTGCTAAGTACATTAATTCCTTGTTTGCAAAAGCTGTCCGTTGGTTTTGGTTTTACGAAAATCAATCGAAGAGTGCTTCAGGCAGATTTGTGACTCCATTGACCTGTATTACAATCGGAAGCAATTCGTACATAACATTACGAATACTACAAACACTTCTTTTTCGACCAAAACTTTGTTGATGCACAGAATTACATTTCCAGAGGGGTTACTCTTGGAATAATTCAAACATTTTCAGGAAGAGTGGGCTTATCGTGTGCTCAGAATAATTCACATCTCAAAGAACAGAAAAGTAAGTTTATTACGGACTCGTTTTTAACTGACACTAACATTTATTAACATAAGTATTAAGTCTATTGGTAATATGGATTAATGCCATTATCTAAGCAACTGCATACTTGCCCCTCCCCTGACTCAACAATAACCATGACTTGTTATCAGTTGACTGTTTTAAGGTTGTGGGAGGAGTAGGTGCGCAGTTGCCCAGATACTGACATTGATCCGATAATATGGGTCAGGTTTTTTTTCTGATTCTACTATGCCCCATCACTGACTTATCTAAACACGGTTTAACCCAGTGGAAGTATGGAAATTTTGGATGTAGTTCGTCAGTCTCGTATAAATCGTCAAGTGTACACCTGCTCTGACCAGTTCAATGTGCTGTTCCCTTTTTTCTTTTCACACTCGTTTCACTGGTTCTCTTCAAGTCAGTCGAGAACGAGGCGAGTTATGTTCTTTCGAACGGATTTAAGATCAGGTACAATGCACACGTGGTCCTCTGAAATATAAATTTGGCTCTGCGATTCAATCAATTCTAGTAGTAAGCAAAAAAAATCTTTACGAAGTGCACTTTTCTGTCGTTAAACTGACAGCGGTTTCTGCGGTTTCTATCCATTAAAGGCAAGGTCAAATGCACGCAACATCTCCACACAACATTTTGCAACTTTGTTATGTGCAATGTGTTGCATGAGTTCGGCCACCCTGTAGCAACATGGTGCAATTTGGTGTTGGATAAAGCTTGAAATGGTCTAATTTTTGTTGCAACATTTTTGGATGTTGCAAGATGCTGCGTGCGCTAGCCAGTTCCTTCACAATATCCAATAACACGATCCTACAATGTTGCAAGATGTTGCATTGAAATGTTGCGTGCGTTTAGTCGGGCCTTTATAATACTACTAAGGTGTTATGAAAAATTGTTGGTTTACCCAACGGTTACTTGTAAAGCAAATAGTAAGGTAATAATCAGCTTAAGGGGTGAAAAATAAATAAACTCTGCAGCGTTTAAAGGACCAGGAACTTTTTGACGCACGGCAATCATGCGCAAGCCTTGGACGACCCCTTGCACCATGCCCTCTAGCTCACGGTTGGCTATGTTGATTACGGCGACGGAATTATTAGCTGTAGCTGGTGTTACCATCCAAGGCCCTGCTACGACCAGAGAACGGCTCACAGAATGCATACCAGGTGCCGTCAGCACACTCCCGACCCCATCAATGTAGCTCACTCGAAGAGAATCCAGATCCAACACTGCAATCTTATCAAGGTATACGAGGCTGATGTAAGCAACAGAGAGAATCTTGGGGTCGAACACTAGTCGACTGACACCTCCAGGGATTTTCACCGTGGGTTTTTGAATTGGAGCGCTGTCCTTACCAGAAACGACAAGAATGACCACTTCACTGGTGAGGAGCATGTTGATTGATTCGTTGACGGATTTGGAAAGGGTTACAATGTACCGGCCGTATTTAGAAGCGTAGGGACGTCCTGTGAAATTATAGCTTCGGACAACTTGATCAGTAGGAGTGTCTTGGATCCAATGCAGTCAAAAAAGCCGTGCCTATTCACCGGGCTGTACGCAAAGTTGAAAGTTCCTCTACAGCCATAGTTTGATACATCCACGAAGTCTTTGTATGTCTTAGATGACAAGTCGAGTTGATGAATACCTGGGTTGAACATATGTGTTACGTAGCCTAAGTTTCCATCCGCTATTTGCTGGTCGGCGTACATGTAACCATGTGTCCAGCCTATGAGAATGAGTAAAGAACGATTTAATGGAGAGTGTAACATTTCACTATAGCAACGTGTAGGAAAAAGTTTCCGAAAAAACGGACCTTCTTTCATCCCCTTAGAGTTTTCCCGGTAGCTCGATGCGTTAACCGTTTCTGATGGTGTGATATCTTCCTTGCAGCATAACATGTGGATGTAGTGATAATTTCAAAGTAAAAACGAGACTTAATTGCTGTCGAAATTTCCTTGCCAAGAGGACGTAAAGAAATGTACAAACTCTGTGTGCTATTTTTCTACTCATTAGCTTTTTTGCCAGGTTCTCACTGCCATCGCTGTCGTGATTTTCTTTAAGTCCCTACTAATAGGAAAGAACTGGGTCACGATCAGTTGAATCCGCAAGAGCTTGGTAGCTTGTCCTGCAAGAGCTCATAGAGGTTTCTGGAGCATTATGGGATTTGGGTCCAAGCATCTCTTATTGGATGGGATGGATCTCTTTACATGGTTAGACTTAGAACTATCTATTGTGATGTACTTTTTAAATTCTGTAATCATCAGGAAAAAAAGAAAGAAAAAACGATGAAAATGCCGTTGTGTTCATTAATTAACAATGATTTGATACAAGAGAACATTATTTCATATTGTTTTTTACGATGTTATATCTACGTCTTCGTGGTACTTACCCGGTTGCACATGCGCTTTAATGGCGGTATGTGTCTTCCTAAGACTTCCCGCGGTACTGATGACGTCAAACGTAGAGCTCGTCCACGCGTGAACCCAGACCTCCTCTAACCAGGGAAGGTAGTACAAGTCATAAGGATATCCCCCAGTTTTAATTGTCTCTTTCACCTTCAAAGGCAAGGACATCTCTTAAGTACATCTTTAGATATTTTAAGATCTTGAAAGGAACGCATAGTTGCAACAAATCTTTCTTCCCCTCTGGTGAGCGGGGCTTACAGACCATGCACATTACTTAATTGTTTGAAAATGTCTGTTATAAAAAAACCAAACTTTGCTTTGCAATAATAAAGCGCAAAAAAAAGGGGAAAATACTGAGAAATATTCAGGAAGTGTATGACTTAAAGCTAAGGTATGTCATTTAATCAGGCTGGTGGATTTTTCTCTTTTTATTTTTCTTGGTGAGCAATATACAAAAGCGCCCCAGATATGTCATTATGCTAATGAATTGTTATTCCTAATCGCACCTCTTGTTTTTCCACATCAATAACATGAACTCGATTCCCAGGACTGTCGCTGAAGAAAATCAGTTCATCCTTAACAGAAATAACTCCTCCAAAAGAACAATTTTTCCTAGAATAACGAGCAAACGGAATCGTTATTGAAAAGCAGTGTGTCTACGTCGGGGAAAATTCGTACCACTTAAAGCTCAGTCGTTTGGTCGAATTGTCTGTACGGATTTCTGTCTGTTTGTCAGTCTGTCTGTCAGAAATGTCCGTCTGGGCCCAATTTTTCAAAGACCGATTAGCCCTAACCCAGGGTTAAATTTTAATTCAGGTTTCTTTATTTCTTTGTTCAAAAGTCTTTTAGGGAAAATTTAAATTTTAATTCAGGTTTCTTTATTTCTTTGTTCAAAAGTCTTTTAGGGAAAATTTTCACAGTTCTTTTTAGAAAATCCAATGATGAAATTGCAAGCAAAAAGATTTAAACTGAACTTTCTCTTAAAGCTTTCGGATCTGAAATCAAATTTCGCACTAACCCTGGGTTACCTTTACCCAGCTTTGAACAACCCGGGCCAGGTCAATGAATCGATCAGCCTATATGTCTGTAGCTCGGATGGTCGGCCTGTTCATCAATTTTTTTTACTTGCTGGTGTGCCTGTTTGACCGTGTGGGATATTATCGGTAAAATCGGGATATTTCTATAAAATTCTCCTTTTAACATGTTTAAGGGTTTACAGCCTTACTTGGAAAAACGATTGTTTGACCTAGTGCAGATACCGTCAGTGATCTTGTGCAACACTTCTTTGCTCTTCGGGTCTATGATGTCGACGCCCTCGGATCCAAATACGTAAACCAATTGTTCGGGTGTATTTGACAAGACTGATGCTTCTTTTACACTAAAACAAACTAAAACGAAATGAAGCAAAAGTTAACTTGAACAGAAAAAAAAACTTCTAAGAGGAGGCAAAATTTAGTCCCCGCAGACGTTCCTTAGTATCGGCTTGTCGAAAATCACGCAATGAGTGGAAGACATACACCTAATCTGGTGATAACATATACAATATGCGCGGATATCGGCGAGTTGCGTGGTATTTTTCCGAGCCCTGTTTTTATGTTCGTAACAAGTTTTTCCGAGCCCCACTTTTTCATTCGTTCTCAGCTGCACCACATTTTGATGTCATCTGTGATCTATTACTGTTCAGACGCACGGCAACATGGAATCTGGGATTTTGCATTGATGTAGTTCCTTTAACTATTTCTGGATTGATTCCAAATGCTGCTGGTTCCAAATGCTGTTGGTTTCAAATACTGCTGGTTCCAGATGCTGTACGAGGTTACACGAAACAATCTCCAGCTCTGGGAGGTACGTGTTACAGGTTTCGATGATTCATGGTTTCGTGCCAATGAGAAACAAGCAGGCTCATACCTTAGTTACAGGGAACAATCTTTGGGACATGAATGTTTATGGTTCGGAATAAAACAGTAACCTGGGTTAAGGATTGCGGCGTCTTTGAAGATCGAAAACACCATAAGTTTGAAATTAGAGGGGCTTTTAGAAAAAGCGTTAAATCAGTTCATGTGAATTCTGTCGAAAATAACGATGGAATCGCCCCCAACTCGACGTTATGGCTAATATCAATATTACGAGACAACACAGACTACTTGTTGAACACCCGGAATATACAATCTACGCAGTGTCATATTTTGAAGAACAGCATCACACCATGTTTTGTAAAAACTTACCAGTTGCAAAAAAAGTAAATACAAGAAGAAAAACCTTCGCTGAAAGCATTTTCAACAAGCACTGGCTCGATATGATACGAGAATCTGTCAACGTGGTGGTGAATATTGAAGATGGCTGCCTCAGGAATCGTGAAAATGCTGAAAATAATCATACCTTAAATGGCTTATGACGTATACTTTCATGTTTCGCAATATCATCAATAGCAAAGTCACGCTTTCTTCAAATCGCACACGCGCTTTATTTGGAAAAGGATTAAGTTGAAGGTCGGGCGGTCAGTCGACAACGAATTAAAGAGCACAGCTGTTGCGTGCAGCTGAAACGAAACGTTACATCATATACTACACTTGGGTCTGATCGAGATTTGGATAACCTTGACCGAGCTTTCCGTTTCAAGTCTTAAGATTCATATGTCTGCAAGTCCGCGCATGGGGTTTTTTAGACTGAAGAACATAAAACAATAGTCCGGCTAATTCCAAATTCAGGCTTCTCAGACCCAAGTCCAGTGCGTCAACCGTTGTGCCACAACTTTACCCTTCCTGTTATTAGTAGTGGTTGGTTGACCAGACGACACAGAGAATAAAGAAGAACTGAAACGACAGGTTAAGACTCTTGAAACCTTCCGCATCTAATTACACATTTAAATCAAAGAACTCAGCGCCTAGAGAAGCTTCTTAAACTTCCAACTTGGGGATAAAGCAAGTTCTCATAACAAAAAATTGTTTTCTGCACAAAAACAGTTTTATTTCAACCTTACTAAAGTTCGTAAATTAACAAAAACCCTTCGTTTTAAATTTAATAAAACCGCCGTGATTTCACCCCCAGTTACTACGACGACATCGTTTTCTTCACTAAGGAAGATATAAGATATCATGTCTTCAGAACAAGATAATCAATATCTAAACAGTTGTTTAACCGTAAGTAGTGTAGCAAAGATAGATAAACAAATAGAAACTACGTGTGTGGGTTGGCTTGATGAGGATATCGATCGGACAAAGATGAATTATAGAAGATCATTGAAGTTGCAAGTATATCTAAGATAGAAGTGAGAGCAAAGCCTAAACTCAGTGCTTTTGATGTTTTGAGCACTGCATTAGTATCACGGAATGGTTATACATTAAAACCCGTCTATACAGTGCATTTGAGCTGTGAAAGCGGCAAGATGACCCGTCAACAACAGACAAAGAATTCGCCCTGTTTGAAAAACTTCTCAGCCTAAATAAAGATACCAAGCCAGTGTAGCTCTCTACGTTCAGTTTTGACCCAAGTGTTTATTTTCGGAGCGGCCTTTGGAGGCCTGCTCTTGGTCAACGGTTTTCGTTGTTTGCTGGTGCGCAGTCTCCTCTCCTTTTATTATAACGTCATTCTGGCCATGACTGAGCCACCAGTCCCAGGCCCACGGGGAACAATTATTGTACGCAGATGGTAAGGCATATCTAGAAGATATATTTTGCAGTTAACATCATGTTATAATGGTTCGTATAAAATTTGGCTTCATATATTTGAGCTCACTTAATCAGCTATGCTGGTCAAAGTTAAATGATAGATAGGTACTCGTCTCGCTCTGTTTATTTTGGCTCATTTTGAGTACTTTTTTAGAACATCACAGGCCAAGAGAATGAAAGCGGTAAATAGAACAAGGGAAATCAAATTACTGTCAAGCATCCTTACCTGTATGGAATTCTGCCGTTACTTGTCGTTACAATAATCATTGTATCCATGTACGTCACGTCTTTTCCAATCTAACCTAGGGAAACGAGCATTGCTTAATAGAAAGCGGATATTTATTGCGGATATTGCGGCAACGAAACCTTCAGGGGGTCTGGTTTCTATCTTCTTGCCATTTTAATCTATGGAGATGCAATAAAGTGAATTCGTAATTTAAAAAAAAAATGACAGTGAAACTCTTGAGTCTGACCATTAGACCAATGAATTAGGCAAACCCCATTGCATCTATAAAAGCGAAAACATGCATACAAATTTAAGAAACCTTAAAAATCCTCGTCAACCGTGAGTATTACGAGTACACTTTCTCTAAAACAAGTATCGTTATGCTCAAAGCTCCCTTTAAGGCGATCACGATGGACTTGGAGGCTAATAACAATGTGCTGTAGTCACAGAGTACAACCTCTTTTCAGTATTACCGACTGAAGTACAACTGAACCTTTCAATGACTAATAACATTGCAATCTTCTTTTTAGGAATCAAAAGTGCAATTTTTATTCAAAACACAATCTTTAAATCAATGTTTTTATGCACATTGTGCTGTAAAAGTCTGTGTTCGTTTTATAGATCAGAAATCAACTTTTTCTAAAAAAACCTTGAATGCACTTCTCTTTTCGTCAAAACTCATTTCAGAACTTGCCTAAAAATTTGAGTCTTCTGACTTACCTGCTCAACGCCTAATAATCGGCTCGAGCTAATCTTGCAACAACAAAATGGTGATCGATTTGGCTTTGATAACGAGTAGGGCTGGATGTAACAGCAAACTTGTTTGCTCTACTCTTTGAAAATTTCGAGCTTCGCGTTGTTTATAGACGCTTATTTATATTAGAGGTTAATTCCACCTGTTAAAAACCCTTGCAAGGGGTAAATATTTTTCATGTTAGTTCGTGACTTATCAATTAGTGTTTCTAGTTCCAAAACATCAAGAAGGCCATGGTTATGCTCATAGTTCCCTTAAAAAAAAGATAACTGATAAATAAAAAGATGGCTGCATTGAAGGACGCCACCACAATATTCATCTATGTAACACAAAGGTATAAGGAAATAAGAAAGGTCGGAACCGCGGAGTTTACCTCTCTTGCGAGCTTCGGTTATTAACAAAAGGCTGAACACCAATCATAAAAGAAATCGGGGCCTTGCTACATTATATTTTCCATAAATTTAAAACACCGAACACGTTTAAATAAAGTAGTCATAATAGATGATGTAAGATTTGATTTCAACGAAAAAAATGTGCTTTCAGGGTTTACATACCTTGCCAGATTTGTAAAGAAATTGGCCAACTGAACAAATCTTAGATACTGAAATTACTAAGGGGCTCGTTTCCTATCAGAAACCATAATCTCTAAGACATATTTCTACGTGTTTCAACCTGCAGAGCACGTTAGGCAGACCAGAGGGACTTGAAAAATACGTTCTTAAAACCACAGATTGGGTTCCAAGTCCTGGGCGGCTACTGTTGCTGCCTCGCTCAACTGACTTTCGTAGTATCAAAGGGTATAACAAAACTGATTCTAACATTAAGAAGAAACCTTAAACGTGTATTTATGACGACAACCTAACTGATTTGTGTTATTATTATACATAGGTGTCAAAATTTGTATTCGGTTTGGTTACAAGTAGGATAGGGCCGTGATTTCGTTTCATGCGCGACTTTTGCTTAATTTACGCGCCAACAACACTCTGTTGTAAGTATATATTTGCAATAATACATCTTCTGACGGGTGAGGGGCCAATTTAGCTGTAAGCCAGTTTTAAAAGCTTTATTTTGATTACCTTTACACAAGTGACTCTGAACAATGGCTCGTGAGAACGTCCGTATTAACACTACCCGAACAAAATCAATACACCTTGCAGTACTTTTGAGAGGCAATACTGAAGAAACTGATTACAATATCGATTTGATTATCCCCAGCTCTTAAGGGCACAATTGTTTTTATCTACATACGTCTCACATTTCCGACGACTAGACTAATTTATTCACTGGTCAAGTAGGCGAGAAGGAGCCTGTCTCCTTTAAAGCTCAGTCGGCCATGTTGAACAGCAAGATTGTCCAGCACCAGCACATCTCTCTTCCGCCATGGAAATCCCACAGCATTTCGCCAGCCTGTCGCCCGGACATGCTCAATCACTTCCGGGTCAATCTCACTTCCGTCGCCATAAAGTGTGTGAGTTGGATACATGTGGTTGGGGAGAGACACGCCATCAAACATGGGAGACTCCTTGTAGTACGTGTTGTGATGAACGTTTGGCTGTGTGAACCAAATTTTGCGGCCTGTAACTGGATGAGTCGCCAGTGGTGGAAGTACGTACCAGTAATACAGATTTCCGGTGCCTTCCTCCCACTCATAATTAAACTTTTCTCTTTTCAAGTATTCTTCAACTTTCTACCATTCCAAAAAAAAAAAAAAAGCAAAGCATTCAATTGGAAATGATTCTTGATGCAGTTTAATACTACCGATGAATGGGAGGGACCAGTCCATGATATACCATTCAGTATTTGTTTTTCAAAAACATAGAAAAGGTGAGAAAAATGAAGTGGATCAAAAACACAAAAGGAAGACAACGAGATGTCTAAATTGAAGGATATCACCACAATATTCATTTAGGGACCAGTCATATAAGGGAGGTACTATAAGAAGCTTACTTTTTTTTAGTTGAATGATAAGTCTTACGTTACAATGAATGAGCAATATTCCGTCGTAGAAATAAAAATGTGCATTTTATTTCCTTGGAGCCTCTTTTCATCCAGAAGAGTGAATGGTTACCGGCAAACTTTCAGGGAGGCCCGGTGAAAGGTTGTGGGAGGGAGGGAGGGGGGTAGCTTGCAGTTGTCTAGTACCCCAGGGAGTAGGAAAGGCAATACTTCTAGTCGTATAACACTGCAGAGGCCGGGATAATATCCGATAAGATGAGCCACTAGGCTAGCAGTCACTCTTAACTCTTTACCGAAAGAGAAACATAACACATACCTTTGGGTCTTTGGTCATAAACGACTGTTGCCAAGAGGCATAGGGATGATGTTTCTCGTCAGGTAGGTATCGCGCGTAGCGTATTTGTCTTTCTTCCAGTATCTTTATCACTTCCGGATCAAGCTGATCGTAGACCTCATTATTTCTGACCAGCGGAGTTACACCTCCCCATTCTTCGTTGGGCTCAGTGAGACAAAAGAAAATGACCTGTTATAAAGAGAATATGTTATAAGGAAATTACCATATGAGGGGAAAGCCAACCTCTCAAAATGTGTCGAAAATTTGTTTCGTCTGAGGGTTATGAAATGATAATTCTTAATCCGGGGAGCATAAAGGACTAAGGAGTTGGCGGATCAATGTTAGTATCTGACCAACTGCGCACCTACCCCTCCCCTAACCCAAAATTAACTCTAACTTGTTATCAGTTGACTGTCGTTGGTTTAAGGGAGGGATGGGTAGGTTCGCAGTTGCTCAGAAACTTACATTGATGCGAAATGAATATGCCGAGTGTTTTTTCTGGGAGTCACCGTGACCTTAAGATCACATGGAAACGTTTGGGTCCAATACCTGAGCCCAAATTCTCCTGTTTTGTTATTGCGTTTTATCCCATTCAAAAGTATCATTGAGTACTTTTGACTTCTAAGTGAGACTTAATCAAATCCTGTTAAGTGACATGCGATATACTATTATCCAGTTCAAGAGGATTAGCGTACCTCAAGTTTACGGTTAATTGATTCATTTTATTGAAACCGTGAATAACTCACTTGGCCACTTGTCTCTATTTCAGGGTACAGTCTGTTTTTTTTTTTTTTTTTTTTTTCCAGGGGAGAGGCAGAGGCAGAGGCAGAGGCAGAGGATGGGGGGGGGGGTGTGGGGGGGGCTCACATGATTTTCAGGGGCAACGGATGGGGCATTAGTCATTACCAACAGAGTATCAAGGATGGACGATAGAAAATTTACTGCAAATTTACTGCCGATAAGGGAAGGGGGAACATAAGAATATTGCAGAGGCTAATAGGGGGTACATGCCACAACTAGATTCCTCCAATCCACCACCCATCTAAAAATTCTAAGGTCTAAATGTTTAATAGTGAATGGAAACACATCACCTTCTTGGGATGAACTGGTGAACAAGCCATCTCATTATGAAGCTCGATGTTAAAATCTGGGGGATCACTGGTGGATAAATACACTTCCGTTTCACCTTCTGCTAGGTATCTGTTTCCGGTGCCACCTTCGTAATTCGTTGGTTTGTAGCCGAGGTTGTCCGCAAACTTGGCGAAATCTCCCGCCTCAAACAGGGGCAGATTTCGAAATAAGACAGCACTGTATTTTGGAAGAACTTTATCAAGCTGTTCCCGGCAAAGCTGACCCCATTTATCAGGGGTCAGGTGATCAATAGATTCGGCGCGCAAAGCAAATGGGAATCCTTCTCTTGCGGATGAAAGGAATTTCGGGAGGCCCTTTCCACCAGATCCAGGCAGGTATTTCCTGCCAGCAATTTGATGTTTAAATTGCAGCGCTAAATCCTTGGGAGGTAAAGGTGTGAAGAACGACTGATTTTCTGAAACTTGAGGCTTTGAGGAAAAGGACATTGTTAGCCTGATCGCACAAAAAATGGATCGTGTTCCATGGTGTACGGGATTCCCCGTGAAAACAGATTTTGATGTTAACATCTGCAAAATGATACATACATATTACTGAATAGTCGAAAGTCAAGAATATATTTTCAGGTAATAGATAATTTTAAGTCATCTTTCTTTGCTTAACGAATTATCTCTTTGGTTTTTATTAATTTTTGTTTAAGTTTTCAAGGAAAAACCAACACATTGATGGTTATTGTTCAAGTTCAGTTAATTTGACTTCTTTAAATCGGAGATTTATATTTTAACACATTTCTTGAATGCATTTCACTATACTTTGCATCCTAAGAGAGGCTTTTCATTGCTAAGCACACAGCATACTAGTTACACCACGTACAGCCTATACGAGAAGGCCAATTATTGAGATGTTTGGAGACGAGCCAAGAAAATGGGAAAGATACGGGAATTGAAATTTACAATTATGTTTACTACAGATGGTTTAATCATTACTTCCTTCTTGTGTGGTTAAGAGGAGGCAGAATCGTGAAAGTTAAACATCAGAGTTGAGAGGACATTCTGTTACGATAGCATCAAACTACAGGATGTGATATTGTAGCAATGACGCATGATATCAACTCTGATTTTGATGAAAATACTCGATTTGGCGCCTTTGGGATGAAATGCTTGATTTTCATAGCGCATCAGTAACCGCTAAGAATACCTGGGATGCGGAAAAATAAAGACTGTAATGTAAGGAATTCGAGATCATTTCGTTTGTAGGTTCGGAAGCTCGCCAGTGTGTGCGGTAAAATTAGTTCGCTCGAGAACTGCGTCGGGAACATAACAAGGCTCATGACCAGAAATACTTTTGTTGTTGCTACCTCTGTCACCAATTAGAATTCTCTCGTCTCTCTACCGCCTGAATGCATAAATGAATTAAACTTTTGGGAAGACAATCTTGCTACCATCAACGGTGTGCCTTTGTAGCCCGTGAAGCGCAGACCAACGAAAATTGTATACTCAGATGCGTCTGATGCAGCCTGAAGAAGTTATATTCAGTTCGAAAACAAAGTCCCCATGTAATTTGTGGTAATCCTAATAAGCAAATCAATATTTTGCCGGCACGTATCAGAGGTCCGGGGACGGGTGCGAGGTGCGCGGAGACTTATGGGATCGTAGTTTGTAAGTAGAGGTCGTTAGTAGGGCAAGACATTTTACAGTCAGCCTTCGCCCTGTTAATTTGTTCCTTTTCGATTTCATTTTTGTCTAAATGTAGAGCTGTACTTGCATACTACCTCAAGTAACTGTGTATAACATGTCATTCATAGGATACCCTAAAACCCCAGGGGTGGCACCTGTAACATCTCTTTCGTTTTTCTAAATTTCAAGTTACAATTTTTCTCTTCCTCTACCCCATTCGTTTTTTTTTTGTATTCACGCGCGACACGCGTGATTTTATAAATTAGCCAATCACGTCAAAGAACTTTAACCTTGACATTGGAAAACTGACGTGGACATTTTTCGCGTACTTTTAGCTTTGTTTTCGCGAAGTTTTAGTTGTTTTTTAGCTTTCGTTCGCGTAAATTTGTTACTCCTTTGTTTAGAATTTAAAGAAGTTTCGGAGTTTTTATTTTAGTTGAAAGTTGAGGTTCTTTGAACAAGTTTAATACGTATTTTCTACGGAGTGTGGACTCTGGTCTCTTTTTTTTCGTAAATGGATTTTTTACATGGTGCCGAGACCCGGGAATATTGACTCACTGAAGAGTTCGATCTCTCGAAATTTTGGCTTTAATGACACAAGAGCACATCGAAGATGAAATCAAGGATACTGAAAACTTCAGAGAATCTATTCATCAAATGATAGTGGAAATTGACGAACTCTCAACGCAGATTAACTGGAAAAGGCCGGAAATACAGATAAGTAAATTCCTCTCTCTAATTCTAATTCGTTTATTGAAAGTCTTGGAATCGGAAAGGGAAAACTGCCGAAGATTAACCTTGAGAAATTCCATGTTGATCCCATTTTCTTTCAATCCATTCTGGGACTCATTTGCAAGTGCAGTCGATGACAACCCTGGTTTATCAGATGTTGACAAACTCAATTATTTGAGAAATCTGTTAGAAGGGCCAGCCGCAGAAGCCATTCGAGGGCTACCGCTTACAGCAGAAAATTACGAGTCAGCTAGAGCCATTCTAAAGAAACGATTTGAGCAACCTCAAGTAATCATTAATGCTCACATAGAGGGATTAGAGAAAGTATCAGCTGTAAGCGCGTACAATCATTTGAGACGTCTACGCCTTCTTTATGATCGAGTCGAAGCTTACGTTCGAGCTTTACAAGTCCTGGGAATAAATTCTGAATCGTATGGGAAGCTTTTGATTCCCTTTCTCATGGAAAAAGTTCCTCCGAATATGCGCTTGAGAATTTCAAGGACCGTGGATCAACCAAAATGGGACTTGGATGTTTTACTTGACGCCTTTGACCATGAAATTGATCATGAAGCGAGAGAGCGATGCGAGCCGATTGGAACAAACCCGACCGATCCTTCTACCTCTAAGAAGCCTTTCTCAGTGCCGTCAAGAAAAAGGTAAGATTTTTCGTCCGCTTCAGCTCTTATTAATCAGTCTTAGGGATCTGTGACATGTACCAACCTGTTGAAATGAGAGGGCCGCTTCTTTATTTGTCTACGTCGCAACCATTTGGCAAGGAATTGTTCTCAAGGCAAGGCATGCCGCATTTGCTCAGGAAGACATTACATGTTAATCAGCGAGAAAGCCAACAGCAGTCGTGTCAACTCAGAAAATGCCGCTTAAAGAAGTAATGTAATGACCGTCAATGAAGCAAATCGCCGAGAAAACAAGTCCTCTACAACAGTGTACGTGGACTCAAACATGTCAATTTTGCTGAAAACGGCCAACGCCTCTGTGTCACGGATCCATCAACCTCATTCTACTGTAACTATGCGCATTCTATTTGACAGTGGCAGCCACCGGAGCCAGACTTCCGAATGAGCTAAAGAAAAATTGGGTCTGTTTCCGAAGAGAAAAGAGAAGCTACTCATCAAAACGTTTGGACAAGAAAACGAAGACTTAAGAGAGTGTGGCATTGTCGAATTCTGTGTCGGAGGATTGAGTCAAAGTTCAGGCGTTCAGATGACTGCTCATACCGTCCGTCTCATCTGCACTCCTTTGACGAATCAAGCTGTACAGTTTGTTCAACAATCATAAAGTCATCTGGCAGACTTGAAACTTGCAGATCAACCATCCGAAGACTGGTTCAGAAGTAGATGTCTTAAATGGCAATGATTTCTATTGGTCTTTCTTCACGGGAGACACGAAACGGGGGGAATCAGGACCTATGGCGATGAAGACGAGTCTTGGATGGGTGTTGTCTGGTCCTTTTCCCCAAACACCAGGTTCAGATACTAATGTTCATTTAGTCACAAGCCATACCTTGCGTCTAGACACCTCCTCATGTGACGACACTGTTACCGAAAAGAGAATTTACGACCCGCTGCAGGAACATGTGAAAAAATTCTGGGAGAAAGAAGCTATCGGTGTGTCAACACAAGAAAAGACAGTGCATTAGAAGTTCTTGGATACTATTCATGTTATCAACGGCCGCTGTGAAGTCTCTCTTCCTTAGAAAGAACAGCACGCGGCATTACTACCGGATGACTATTCCCATGCTGTTTCTCGCCTGGCTTCTGTTCTAAAACGTCTAAGAAAGAATCCTGGGTTGTTTGAAGAGTACAACCGCATCATTGAAGAGCAATCTTTGCGAGGAATAATCTCCGATGTCGATCCCGACATACCAGTCGAAGTTGGTCACGTACATTATTTACCGCATCATCCAGTTGTGCGCGAAGATAAACAGACGACGTAAGTGAGGATAGTCTATGATGCATCCGCTAAGTCTACTGGTCCAGCGTCAAATGACTGCCTTCATGCAGGTCTATTATTTCTTTCTGAAATACCCGATGTTCTGATGCGTTTCAGGTACCACCGAGTTACTTTTGAGGTACTCGCAGTGGTTATCTGACCTGTCAAAAGCTGACTGTGTCCCGATCCAACAATGTTTTCTTCCAGACGAGAGCATAATTTCGCTTCAACTACGGTTCGGAAGTAGCGTACGCGGCAGCTGTATATCTCAGAATGGAAACGAGTCAAGGAGCATACGTTTATTTGTTGATGAGTAAGTCACGAGTCGTACCGCTTTCCAAGCAAACCATTCCCAGGATTTAGCTCTTAGCGTCACTCATACTATCCAGGTTGATTACCCGAGTCCGTTCAGCCCTACTTCCATTGGTCAAGATTACAGAAATATTTTTGCTGGCCAGATTCCACTACGAATCTTCACTGGATAAAGGGGGTTGAACAAAGAATACAAGCAATTCGTTGAAAACAGAGTCAAGGAAATCCGTCAGAATGTGCCGCTCAAAGCGTGGAACTATTGCCCCGAAAGTCAGAATCCCGCAGACTTACTCTCCCGTGGTATGGGATAAGATGCGTTGAAACAGTCACAACTATGGTGACATGGTCCATTTCGGCTAATGAAAGAACAGAAGATTTGGCCTTACTTCGGAAACTCCCACGAGACTTCAAGTGCTTATTTTGAAGAAATGCGTCTGAAAGCCAAAGGAAACTGGGCTTCTTATTGACTCCTCGATGATTTCGTTAACAAATATCTTCGAACCCCAGAAGTACAGAGACTTTAAGAAGCTGATACGATTAACAGCACTGGTGCTCAGAGCCGTGAAGAATTTCAAAACTGGAACACGTGGTGAGGAACCGAATGGCCTTTTGAGTACCGGAGAGTATGCTCTCGAAGAAATTCTATGGATCCGCGAAATGCAACAGTCTGTAATCAAGTCACAGAAATTTAAGGAATTGAAACAACAGCTAGCATTGTACACAGATGAAAGCGAGTTGCTCCGATGTAATGGAAGACTACAGAATCTTACGATTCCATTTAACACCAAGTTCCCCATTTTCCTGCCATCAGATCATGACCTAACCGTTCTTATCATTCGAGATTGCCACAAGTGAGTCCAACGTAACGGAGTAAGAGAAACCTTGGCAGAACAAAGGTCTAGATTCTGGTTTGTGAAGGAAAGACAAGTCGTTCGCAAGGATTCTTTCAAAATGCGTGTTAGAAGACGAGAAGTCGATCAGTCTCTTCAAGAACAAGAGGGCTCCTTTTAAAGGAAAACTGATCGAGGGGGGAACACGTAGAAAATCTCTTTGGTTTTTTTAAATTTCAAGTTACAATTTTTCTCTTCCTCTCTTCCCTTTGTATTTTTCTTTTATTCACGCGCGGCGCGCGTGATTTCACAAATTAGCCAATCACGTCAAAGAGCTTTAACCTTGACATTGGAAAACTGACGTGGACATTTTTCGCGTACTTTTAGTTTTGTTTTCGCGGAGTTTTAGATTTTTTTAGCTTTCGTTCGCGTAAATTTGTTGCTCCTCTGTTTGGAATTTAAAGAAGTTTCGGAGTTTTTGTTTTAGCTAAATATTGTGGTTCTTTTAGCAAGTTTAATACATATTTTCTACGGAGTTGGACTCGAGTCTCTTTTCGTAAATGGATTTTTTTACAGCACCGCAGCCTTGGTTGGGGGTTCACGTTCCCCGTTTTTCCCACCTGCTGGTTTTTAGAGGTTTTCGTGTCCGGCTTTGGTGCTTTTAGTTTACTTCAATCGTAAAAGACTTTTGTCAGCATATCGATTTGGCGTTAAATAAACGGTGGCTTGGCTGGCCAACGCGCTTGGAGGGTAATAGCAATGAGTTGTAGTTACAGAATACAACCTCTTTCCATGATTACCGACAGTAGTACATGCAACTGAACCTTTCAATGACCATTAACATGGAAATATTCCTTTTAGGAATTAAACATGAAATTTTGATTCAAAGCATAGTCTCTAAGTCATTGTTTCTATGTATGTTATGCTGCAAAAGTCTGTGTTCTTTTTTTACAGATCAGATATCAGCTTTTTCTAAATGATTGCACTTCCCTTCGTCAAAAGTCATTTCAGAGCTTGCCTCAAAATTAGAAAGCCTTCCGACTTACCTGCTCAACGCCTGTTATCCCGCTCAGGCTAATGTTGCAACAACAAGATGGTGATCGCCGGATTTACCTTTGATAGCGAATAGGGCTGGGTGCAACTCTTTGAAAATTACGAGCTTCGCGTTGTCCATAGACGCTTATTTATATTCGAGGTTCATTATACCCGTTAAATACCCCTGCAAGAGGTAAATATTTTTCATCCGTGACTTACCAGTAAGTATTTCTAGTTCCAAAACATCAAAAAAGCTGTGAAAAACGACCTGAATAAAAAACACTAAGGGGAAATAAAAAGATGACTGAATTGAAGGACACCACCACGATATTCATCTATGTAATAGAAGAGTAGAGAGGGATAGGAAAGATCGATGCAGCGGAGTTTACCTCTCTTCCGAGTTCCTGTCATTAACAAAAGGCTGAGCACTAATCAATCTATAAATTTAAAACACCGAACACACTTAAATAAAGTAGTCAGAATAGATAATGTAAACTTTGATTTCAAGGTAAAAAGTGTGTTCAGGGATTAAGGTTTGTATACCTTGCTAGATTTGCAAAGAAATTGGCCAACTGAACAAATTTAAATACTGAAATTACTAGGGGACTCGTTTTCTATCAGACACCATAATCTCTAAGACACATATTTCTACGTGTTTCAAAAAGCACGTCAGGCAGACCAGAGGGACTTGAAAAATATGCTCTTAAAACCACAGGTTGGGTTCCAAGTCCTGGGCGGCTACTGTTGCAATCTCGCTCAACTGACTTCCTTAGTATCAAAGGGCATAACAATCATTAAGAAGAAACCTTAAACGTGCATTTATGACGACAACTTAACTGATTTATGTTATTGTTATACATAGGTGTCAAGATTTGGATTCGGTTTGGCCACAAGGAGGATGGGGCCGCGATTTCGTTTCACGCACGACTTTCGCTTAATTTACGCGCTAACAACACTCTATTGTAAGTATGTACTTACAATAATACACCCTTTTGACGGGTGAGAGGCCAATTTAGCCATAGGCCACTATTAAAAGCTTTATTTTGATTACTTTTACAAAAGTGACTCTGAATAATGGCTCGTGATAACGTTCGTATTAACACTACTTGAACAAATTTAATGGACCTTGCAGTACTTTGGGGAGGCAATGGAGGCAATACTGAAGGTACAGATTACAATGTCGATCTGATTATTCACAGCTCTTAAAGACACAGTTTTTTTTATTTACATACGTCTCACATTTCCGACGACTAAACTAATTCATTCAGCCGTCAAGTAGGCGAGAAGGAGCCTGTCTCCTTTAAAGCTCAGTCGGCCATGTTGAACAGCAAGATTGTCCAGCACCAGCACATCTCTCTTCCGCCATGGAAATCCCACAGCATTTCGCCAGCCCGTCGCCCGGACATGTTCAATCACCTCTGGGTCAATCTCACTTCCGTCGCCATAAAGTGTGTGAGTTGGATACATGTGGTTGGGGAGAGACACGCCATCAAACATGGGAGACTCCTTGTAGTACGTGTTGTGATGAACGTTTGGTTGTGTGAACCAAATTTTGCGGCCTGTAACTGGATGAGTCGCCAGTGGTGGGAGTACGTACCAGTAATACAGATTTCCAGTGCTTTCCTCCCACTCGTAATTGAACTTTTCTCTTTTCAAGTATTCCTCCACCTTCTACCATGCAAAAAAAGAAGAAAGGGCAACACATTCAAACGGAAGTGGGATCGGATAAATATCATCGTGACTCTACCAAACTACTCCCCCAACAGGTGATTCCCTTATAAGCCTCTATTTCTTAGAGTCGTTTAGGTGAGCTTATTACCAGAGATACTTTTTTTTATGGGGAATTGAATGGAGGAATCAACGCGTTCAGTTTTCCAAACAAGATTTCAAGAAATACACTGAAACTCAGACATTTAGCGTATCTGAAAGTGGCGACAAAATGAGACCAAGCGTCGACGTTATGTCTTCACAGGTTTCATCAACAATTTCCATTTTCCACGGTATTTTTGAAGACAGCTTAGAATCGTTTTTCAGTTCTCAACATATTCTGCATGGTTCTGACCGATCTTAAAAGTAGTTTTTCTCATAAAGTTAGGGGTATATAATTTGTGAAAGGGATAGCAAAGACTGAACATACTGATAAGCCAATACCGGTAGGGGCTTAATATATATATATTTTTGTTATAATATTTTACTCCTCAGAAACCAAGGGGAACTTATTCATTTTGTTTTTCAGTTAAATGATAAGTCTTACGTTACAATGAATGAGCAATATTCTGTCGCAGAAATAGACATAAACATTTTATTATCTCAGTGCCTCTGTTCATCCAGAAGAGTGAATGGTTAACGGCAAACTTTGAGGGAGACCCGGTGAAAGGTTGCGAGAGGGAGGGAGGGGGGTAGCCTGCAATTGACTGGTACCCCGGGGAGAAGGAAAGGCAATACTTCTAGTCGTATAACACTGCGGGAACCGGGATAATATCCGATAAGATGAGCCACTGGGCTAGCAGTCACTCTTAACTCTTTACCGAAAGAGAAACATAACACATACCTTTGGGTCTTTGGTCATAAACGACTGTTGCCAAGAGGCATAGGGATGATGTTTCTCGTCAGGTAGGTATCGCGTGTAGCGTATTTGTCTTTCTTCCAGTATCTTTATCACTTCCGGATCAAGCTGATCGTAAATTTCATTATTTCTGACCAGCGGAGTTACACCTCCCCATTCTTCGTTAGGCTCAGTGAGACAAAAGAAAATGACCTGTTATAAAGAGAATATGTTATTAGGCAATTACCATATGAGGGGAAAGCCAACCTCTCAAAATTGTTTCGTCTGAGGGTTATGAAATGATAATTCTTAATCCGGGGAGCAAAAAGTACCAAGGTGTTGGCGGATCAATGTTAGTATCTGACCAACTGCGCACCTACCTCTCCCCTAACCCTGAACTAAATCTAACTTGTTATCAGTTTTCTGTTGTTGGTTTAGGGGAGGGGTAGGTTCGCAGTTGCTCAGAAACTTACATTGATGCGAGTTGAATATGCCAAGTGTTGATTGACAATTTACTGCCGATGAGGGAAGGGGGAACATAAGAATATTGCAGAGGCTTATGGGGGGTACACATGAATTTTGTCATGTCACAACCAGATTCCTCCAACCCCCCCACCCCTTACCCCCTTTCCCCCCCCCCCCGGCTGACCAGTTCCTTAATGATATTTTACACGCCTAAAGTATCCTTTAAACGTTTGTTTTAATCGAGGACTCCTTGTCTTAATTTGAGAACTTGTAAAATGAAACTCTGAAGACGTTTTAAAATTCTTAAGTCTAAATGTGTAAAAGTGAGTGGAAATACATCACCTTCTTGGGATGAACTGGTGAACAAGCCATCTCATTATGAAGCTCGATGTTAAAATCTGGGGGATCACTGGTGGATAAATACACTTCCGTTTCACCTTCTGCTAGGTATCTGTTTCCGGTACCACCTTCGTAATTCGTTGGTTTGTAGCCGAGGTTGTCCGCAAACTTGGCGAAATCTCCGGCTTCAAAAAGGGGCAGATTGCGAAATAAGACAGCGTTGTATTTTGGAAGAACTCTATCGAGCTGTTCCCGGCAAAGCTGACCCCATTTATCAGGGGTCAGGTGATCAATAGATTCGGCGCGCAAAGCAAATGGAAATCCTTCTCTTGCGGATGAAAGGAATTTCGGGAGGCCCTTTCCACCAGATCCAGGCAGGTATTTCCTGCCAGCAATTTGATGTTTAAATTGCAGCGCTAAATCCTTGGGAGGTAAAGGTGTGAAGAACGACTGATTTTCTGCAACTTGAGGCTTCGAGGAAAAGGACATTGTAAGCTTGATCGCACACAAAATGGATCGTGTTCCATGGTGTACGGGATTCCTCATGAAAACAGATTTTGATGTTAACATCTGCAAAATGATATATACATATTACTGAATAGTCGAAGTCAAGAGATTTATATTTGAACGCATTTTGTTGATGCATTTCACTACTTTGCATCTTAAGAGCGGTTTTTCATCAATAGGCATGCGGTTAGTGGATACTAATTACAGCACGTACAGCCTATACGGGGAGGCCAATCATTGAAATGTTTGGAGAGGAGCCAAGAAAATGGGACAGATGCGGGAATTGAAATTTCTTAATAATCCTGAAGCGAAACATTTAAAAATTAAAAGAAAAGAATCATAAACAAACTGAAATTCTCCATTTAGTAGACAATATGTGATTTACAATTAGGTTTACTGCAGATGGTTTAGTCAAAACTTCCTTCTTGTGATTGGCTAAGAGGAGGCAGAGTCTTAAAGGTTAGACATCACAGTTGAGAGGACATTTTGTTACGATAGCATCAAACTACAGGATGTGATATTGTAGCAATGACGCCTGATATCAACTCTGATTTTGATGAAAGTACTCGATTTGGCGCCCTTGAGATGACCTTCACTACAACTTTTTTCCTGAGACGTGTGTTTGATTTTCATAGCGCATCAGTAATCGCTAAGAATACCTGGGATGCGGAAAAGAAAAGATGATTGTAATGTAAGGAATTCGAGTTCGTTTCGTTTGTAGAATCAATAACTGAAAGATAAACTCGTGTCCTCCCTGAGAACATCAGCAGCGCCGACCTTATCAGCATTATATTCAATAAAAAACAAACACAACATTTGCATTTGCAAAGTATTGGCGCAAGTTGTGTTTTTTTCTATTGTTATTTTGTTCAAAAACGTATGCTGAGTCATACTGCGTTGTTTCTGTCAGTTTTTCCCATGAGACCCGTATTATATATATATATATATATATATATACCTTGTGTTCACAGTCAGTAACTGTACCATGGTTTGGATTGAATTGGGAGTTTGTCTTTGCCTTGTCGAAAAGTCATATGCGCCTCACATTAGTTACGCGTAAAATAATTAAGTGCAAGTATTCAATTAATCTTTTTCTTCCTTCTGAATTCACTCGATTTTCGCCGCGTAACTAGATCTCTTACGATAACCATTTACTCAAAGTGATACAGTTTTACGACCCCGCATCGAGTATTTGAGTATTCTCTCTCAGAAGTGTAGGACATTCTGTCCGTTATTCCAATGACGCTAATAAAAGCGGACCTTGTTAAAACATTGAATACAAACTTTAAACAGAGAAAGTTAACTTAGGTTCTACTCGATTCATAGCTAGGAAACTTAATCTACTGAACAATTATTAGCGAGATCGTAATTTTCAGCTTTACTAGGTTTGTCAATGTCCGCATCAATGTAGTAAAAGTACTATTACACTGTTTTACCATTTTTTGTGAGCGCTGGTGATTCGCTCAACCACTCAATACTTGAGTATCAATAAGTGAATCGCATGAAATCAGCTTTTGATAAGTTTGTATCATTGTAGTGGAGCCCTTTACGCGTAAGAGTGCAGAGTGTGTGAGACCTAATCTAGTTAACAAACACAACCGCAATTTCAAGTATGGATAAAAGTTTTCCCTATTATCAATGTTAATAAAAGTGGTTGCAAAGAATGAAATTTGCAGAAGGATAATCCCACCTTATTCTTCTCAAAGGAGCTGTCAACAATTCTGTAAGATTCGATTGTGAAAAAGTCTCCGCATTGGAGCGATTCGTGGGCCAGTTGAAGTCTCGGCTTCTACAACGTATTGATATCCGAGGTGTGCCCAGCTTAAGTACAAATATCTTCACATCACACTTAATGATATTAGACACAGCGTATTTTCTTTTGATTGGCATAACCGATTTGGAAAATACGATTTTTATGACGTTGTTATCCTGGAAATGCAGACCAGCTCTGGCATCAGTTATTTATTTTCCTTTCATCAATGCAGGCTGCAATTTGCTCTGAACTTTTCCCAGAGCATGACAGAAATGAAAGAATATAGGCTTGCTCTTAGCCATTTCCGGCTGGCTTTTTAAAACCAATATTATACCTTCTCTTTGTCACTTGTTAAGTTAAATTCAAATGAGCTATTTCAGATATAGGCTCAAAAGGTCTTTTATTTGCTTGCGACTGGAATTTCCAAAATATTTCGGACGTAATAATAACACTTCTTTCTCCATGGTGTAATAAACACTTAATTAACTGAAAACTATACCTTAGGGAAAATCAAATTGGAGTTGAAGTTTTCGACTTCGCTAGAAAGACACGCAAGCTTTACTGTATTTGAGGAGCAAATTCTACAATCTCTCTCTCATAATTCAATTCTACGCAAGGGTTAAAGGTGTTAGGACTTTTTCCTAGCGCGTATAACACGGCAAACAGTTTCTTTTTTACTTCCACAGCCAATATTTATCGATACACCACAGTCGACTGATAAATATGCCAAATATCATAAAACCCTGATGGCATTTCCGAGGCCAGCAATGGCCAATATTTCATATCGCTTAAGGCATCCGATCTATATAAATTAGTTTATAAAGGTAGCTAAACTCTTCTCACAAAGATGCTGATAGAAGAACCGTTATGTCGATGTCGTGTGTCCGACATCATGCACCATCTCCTCGAATCACTTTGGGAGGGAGCGAGAGTTTAAAAGATGTTTCTTGACAGCAACTCCAGTGCATAACTTAACTTGACATTAAAAGCAGAGAAGGCAAGTGACGTATATTTGTAGTAAATATGCGATAAAATGATAAAAACTTTAAGTGTACAAACTCTGAGAGAAAATCGACCGACCTTTAAAAAAATTTTGGAATTGGTTTGAAACATTCGATAACCTTTCAGTTATTGATTCTACATTCGATAACAACAAATACTACTTCAGGAGTCAAATTTAGATCGCTGTAATAATTTGAGTTAAAATTCACCGCTTGTACTTGTACAGAAATGGCTATCGGTCGCCTTTTGTTCCTTTATAAATATTTGAAGAAGACATTTCCTCTTTCGCGTAATGACACGCCCATGACTTAATTCTAGACCCACTTCATTGCATTAAGAACATATATTCGACCACAACAGACAACTACGTAAGACTCACAACATACCTTTTTCGCTTCAAAACCAGAGAGGGAAATTGGATTCGATGTCATCTTGGGAGAAGCATTTGTTCACAAAAATATTCACTTTAATCCTCTATTGTTTCATGAGCGAGTACTACGCTAAATAGTTAATTAGCATATTTTCTCACATTTTTTGTTAATTATCTCGAAGTAAAATCACTGATGGTGTAATTGACGATAGAAGGCAACAAAGGAATCGTCCTCAGCATGCAGCGAAGTTCTCCGAGACTTTCAGCAGTTTTCGACGACAACAGTTAATGAGCAAATCAAAAGTTTTGCTCGAGTAAATTTTTTTTGTTATGTTTGAACCTTCTGATGTAAGTTAACAGCGAGATGTCCCAAAATTTATCCTCATTGAGAACGGTCGTCAGTTTTTCAATGTAGACAAGAGAGAGGTCTGGCGTCGTCAAAGACAGTAAACACGACGAGCCACTTGTTTAACTCTTAAGAGAAATATAAGTTTGTTTTTCATTCAAAGTTTTTGTGAGCGTCGCCCTTGCGACTGCTTAAACTCTGATATGATCATACTGTATGTAAAACAAGTATGCGGACTGACAAGGTTGAAACTTCGGAATCTACTACTACGCATCGAGAATGCTAGATGATACCCGCATGACGCACACATTGTCGTATTGATGCCCTAATTTTGTGGCAATAACAAGATGCTCGAATCTGATTGGTTCTTAACAGTCTTTATTTCTTACTTAATATAGCTTATGCAGCACAAAACTTTCCCATTTGGCTTGTGTGAATATAAGCATCTTGTTATCGGACTGGTCAAATCGGACAGTTAAACAGCGAATAACAATTAAGCACTTAACGGTAACAGGTACACCAATGCCAGCAAATGAAAATTAAGGTCAAGTTTGATGAGCAAGGTTGCCTGGGTTTAGCTTGAAAACGAAAATTGTACGAAATTGACCGGTGCTATGACTTGTAATCAGATGTTATATTTACGTCAAGAACCTTTTCTTAGGACACTGAAGGAGAAATATTTCGAGGTTTTCTCTGTTTAATTTTTTTCACCCTATCTTGTCTTTTCGATAGCTTAAGACAGTTGAACCTTAGGCTGATGTGCTAACCCTTTACACCCTAACATCAGTATGCGTATTCTCCTCACTGTTCTTAATAGTACTCCTAGGGTGCTAAAAAGAGAATTTGTTGAACTGTCAGGAGTTTTGTTAACTGGTGATCATTTGCTTTATTCTTTCAACTTTAATGTGTGATTCAGGGGTGATATTGTAAAGAGAAATTAGATGCTAATCGCTCTTAGGGGTGAAAGGGGTAAATAAGATATCTATCCTGTTTCTTGAAGTTTTTCATTGACCTGTCAATAGGCCATTTTATGGTTGCGTGCTTGGTTGCTAAGCCTTTTAACAGGAGTGAGGCTAAGGGTAACCTTGTTGTAATACAAACCTTGCTGCTTTTCAAATGCAGATTGCCTTAATACTATGCCAACTAGATACTGGTCTCTTTCCTACAAAGTCACCTTTTAGACTCATTCCAAATCAAAGGCTTAGCAACTAAGTACACAACTGTCAAATGGCCTATTGTAACAGGTTACAAACAATTCAGGGGTTCTCATGCTTGTAATTTCGCAGATTCTCTCCCTGAATTTTACTTCACGTAGTCCTGTTGCAATGCAAATGGAGCAAACACAACGAGCGTGCGAAATAATACGACAATAAAATAAGAGGTGAAACAGAGAGCAAGCGATACGCAAACGAGACAATCTAATCAAGAAAGAAAAATTAACGTCGTCACCATTAAATAAAAAAAAAAACTAAGAGCGATTGAGATAACATCACAACGAATGTAAGAAAAGTTAAGAACGCGCGGGTTGCTAGCGAATTCGAAGTAATCAAATGAAAGAGAAAAAAGACCGCACGAGTGATGAGTGCATCATG